ATTCAGCCTAACCTCTGTTGCCAAAGCGCTAGTTGTTTACAGAGTGCTGGTGTGTGGCGACAATTAAGTGATTAGCAGCGGGCTCTCTGGTGACTTGTGACACTCCAGCTGTGCGGCACTCGTAGACATGATGTTCCCGCTCCTGGTGCCTCACTGTTAAGAACAATGTTAACAACCACACCTGCTTCAGTCCAGATGAAGGACCATAGATATAGGGACCATGGGGGGAAAGGTGACTGAATTAGAAGAGGGTTGGAGTCAACTATAGCCCCCTCTCTCTAACACACTGTTCCTTTTGAGGTATAATGTTTCCCTTAATTTATCATTTTCTCAATGGTTTCCTGATTACCTTTTCATTAATGTAAGTAAGTAAGCATTTCACTGTAAGCATTTCACCTGTTGTATTCGGCGCAAGTGACGAATACAATTTTATTTGATTAATATACAGCCATGAATAAAAGACAATATCTAAACCAATAAGCACCAAAAAGTACCACTAAACACACATAGGCATGTCAACACACACAAACATAACAAATGCTTCTGTACAGTGTTGATTTGAACACCTCAGCCCCCAGAAAAAAAACAAGTAGCCGCCAGCGCACGTGAAATTTGGTACTGGTTTCAGAGATTTGATCAATATCTACATGGACAGTTCAGTGGGTTGCGTAAGGGGGTCTGTGTCAACTCCCTAAAGGAGCCATGTAATAAAAGACAGTTTGCATAGGTCTATGACCCTCACTTTTTCTCCATCACATCATGTCCTCCTCCCTAACACATGAGAACAGGTTTGTGTTCATTAGGGCACGCAACGGAAAACCTTTAAAAACATTTTTCAACTAATCACAAAATCCAGTCAGTTTCTTCCATTTGGTGCCTAATGAACATGACACAGGGCTTCCAGGTATTCAGAATGGGGAAGGTAAGGGGGGTTGAGGTGGTGTCAGGTCAACTTTAACATGATTTATACCATTTTCATTCAATTACCCTCCAATTGATGAGCTTGACAGACCGCTCTCCCATTTAGAGAAGGACAAGTGGAGGCCAATGAATTCTGTCTTTTTTTTTTTTTTATCACCCATTCTCTCAATCTTTTCATACATTTTCAAATGTATGTAATTATTACATATGGTGTGAGAATGGACTGACTGTGCCTTGGAAGTGGGTAAGGGAGGAAAAGCCATTCCCACTGGGCACACACTGGCTGAATCAACCTTGTTTCCACGTCAATGAAATGACGTGGAACCAACGTGGAATAGACGTTGAATTGTCGTCTGTGCCCAGTAGGTCTCTGTATTATAGTGCTGTCACAGCTCTTTCAGCGCGCCCAGGGTATGGCTTTCCCATTAGTCTGGTAAGGTTAACTATGCACTGCCGCAATGAATGGAAGCAAAATACAAAATTAATTTTGTTCAATAATTTTTACCACCCACCCCACACCATCACTCCTTTTCGATTTTTTTTTTGTTTGTTTCCATAGGAGAGAGAGAGATTCAGGCAGGATGGTTTGTTTTGGACCGCTATATTCCAGTGAGTTGTACCACAAAACTTCAGACTTCATGTCAAAAGTTTGCCATGTACACCATTTATTGAGCAGTTCTTCAATCATCTTCTATGGCAATACTGCAGTACACTTCATCCTACTGTGCTTTATTGCAACAAATCAGCTCTGCCATAGCCAACAATATTTTTGCTCATGACACAAGTGTCCTATGGTCATACATTTGTCAGTCGTCAGATGTTTGCATTGTGTGGTCCTCTGTAACTCAATTGGTAGAGCATGGCGCTTGTAATGCCAGGGTAGTGGGTTCGATCCCTGGGACCACCCATATGTAAAAATGTATGCGCACATGATTGTAAGTCGCTTTGGATAAAAGCAACTGCAAAATGGCATATTATTATTATTGTTTTAATAGTCAATACAAAAAACTATTCAGGTCCAATGATGGTAAACAAGCATAAATCATAGATGCTCATAGAACATGCAAATATGAGAAATTAGGAACAATAAACTCAAAACTGTCTTCATTTAGAAAAAACATTTGTTTGTTTACCTAAAAACTAATCTCATGATGGTCACATCATTAGCATGACTCATACTGTACTAGAATGATGAACAAACATCACAGAATTTCACCTCTTGAACCCAGAGTCAGTTAAGATATGGCTCTGCCTCTGCTTGAACCCAATCTCTGCTAGATCCTAATAATTCCCATTCCATCAATGTCTGGATAAAATAATGTACCAAATGTTTAGTGAGACCAATTTTCCTGTAATTTCTATTCCCTATTGGCGCGCATCTTCAACTTGGAAACACACAAACAGGGCCGGCTCGGGCAGAGAAACCCATTTGCTGATCTTCATGGAACTCAGACAAAGAGGCCAGGCCTAAGTAGATTTTTCATTACCCATCTCTAATAGGGAAGGTAAATTACAGCTGCGGGTATTAGTTTGGTTTTCTGATGTACATTTCTCCTATAAAAATGAAAGGACCAAAAGGGTACACTACATCTGTGGTACGCACATTAGAGAAATGAGCACGTCTCCCATGCGCCCACCACCACTCACCTGTAATTCGGGAACATACAAACTCGCTGGAGAACATAAAGGCACTTTTAACTCCTACCTTGATTATCCCCTACAGACTGCAACAGAAAGAGGGGGTGGAGCAGGGGGGTGGTATAAAATCAGGGAACTAACATTGCAAATGGCCTCTATTAGCAAAGTCAAAATGTTCTGATGTTTCTTCTAAAATAATTCACACACTACTCCTAAAAACAGGGGAAAGATGCCTTGCTAGGACACAAGTGTTTATTTTATGAAGTTCAGACTATTAATCAAATTATGACCTGTTATAGTACCAGTTAGGTTATGTATTATGAATAAGAGTGTAGTGCATGAACAATGTCTGTAGATCAAGGTATCTATGCATTAATACGGTATTGCTATTTAGCAGACGTTTTTAATTCAAGCGACTCAAACCCACCACCCTGTTGTTGCAAGCACCACACGCCAACCAGCTGAGCCTTTGTAATCATCCTCGGCATATACACTCCCATCTGTATGTATTCGGACAGTGAAGCTAAAATATTTAATTTGGCTCTATACTCCCAAAAAAATTATTTTAGGTACACTGTTCTATTTCTTATTCATATTGCTACATGGATGAAATATGTAGGCTGAAAAATGGGTTTTGTAGGCTTAACACCGTATTTCTTTGGACAGTGATGCTAAACATTTTTATTTGTCTCTACTCCAGCATTTTGGATTTTAGATTTAAATGTTTCATATGAGGTGACATCACAGATTGTCATCTTTTATTTGAAGGTATTACCATACATATCTGTTTTACCGTTTGGAAATGAAAGCACTTTATGTATCTGGTCCCCCCCATGTGAAGATGTCAATTATATGGACAAATTAACTTATAGTGTATCAAAGTAGTCAAAAGTTTTGTATTTGGGCCCATATTCCTTTCACTCAATGACTGCACCAAGCTTGTGACTCTACAAACTTGTTGGAAGCATTTGCAGTTTGTTTTGGGTTGTTTTGTCCAACAGTAACTGAATGGTGATTGATGACTGGATTAATTTTCTTTCTAAGTGAGTAGATAAGATGATTCTGAACACTCATGAATTAAATCATGAATAATGATGAGTGAGACGCTACAACAAAAACATAATAACACCCGTACCATTACCAATAACAGGGGAGGTTAGCGGGGGGGGGGGGGGGGGGGTTGATCTTTATTAATGATTAATTCATGATTATCCGTAATCACGATAGCATCCGCAAAATGACAATACATTATTCACCATTCAGTTCCTAATTGGGCAAAACATAAATCGGAAACAAAACAAACGACAAATGCATCCAACAAGTTTGTAGAGTCACAAGCTTGGAGTAGTCATGCGTGCTAGGAATATGGGTCCAAATACTAAACTTGACTACTTTAACACACTATAAGTGAATTTCTCCAAATACTTATGGCTTCTTTAAATGGGGGGACTAGATAAAGTGATTTCATAATTTCCAAACGGTAAAACCGATATGTATGGAAATACCCTCAAATAAAAGATGACAATCTGTGATGTTGCCTCATATGAAACATTTAAATCTCAAATCCAAAATGCTGGAGTAGAGACAAATACAAATGTTTAGATTCACTGTCCAAATAGATATGGTGTTAAGACTACAAATACCCCTTTCAGCCTACAATTTCATCCATGTAACAATATGAATAAGAAATAGAACAGTTAGAACAGTGTACCAATGTGTGGCTTCCCTCTAATCCACCCACCCAACCAAGCCCATCTCCCCATTCTGCAGATAATTCCCTAGGCCTATGGGTGCTCACTACTCTGGACTACACCCTTTTCACAGTGTGCCCAGTCATTAACGCATATCAGGCTAATGACATGCAACGCAGGCTACTAATTTCGGTTAGGGCTTAATGAAGTCAGACGAAAGATCTGGATGCTTGTGCACAACACAGAATAGCAATGAGCCAAGGCCGACTATTACTCTGTTTCTTTACGGGGGAACAGAGCCAATTCCCCATGGCCTGAGCACCACTCCACTACTCAAAGACCTCTAGTACTGTAATAAGCTCTTGTTCCTTCACAGACGAAAGGCACAAAAAAAAAGCTAATAATAATAATTTCAATTTATTAACATTGTTGCCCTTGAACGTTCTAAAATGGCTGTATGAATTAACTTTTACAACAGAGGCACCATAAAGCACATTCGACAGTGGACCAGGGCCAGACAGAGCTGGAAACCCACTTACATCCAAGGCAGTCATCACAACCCAGAATCCCCCAAAGCCTGGTCGATCACAGTCCTCCTTAGTCCACATCACAGGAGGTTGGTGGCACCTTAATTGGGGAGTACGGCCTCATGGTAATGACTGGAGTGGAATAAGTAGAATGGTATCAAATACACCAAACACATGGCTTCCATTTCATTCCCTCCATTCCAGCCATTATTATGAGCCGTCCTCCCCTCAGCAGCCTCCACTGGTCCACATCCCAGAGTCCTCCTGCCCACGCCTGCCTTTCACTCGCTCCTCCAGGGCTCGGCAGTCCTCCTCTGTGACTGCATCAGCCTTGAGGACCACAGCCTTCCTACCGGCGGGGTCCAACCTCAGAGTCATCACGCAGCACATGTCCACCAGGCCCTGCTGACACGCCTTCATCCCTGCATCCTTCCGGGCTGGGTCTAGCTTCGACTTCTCAGCCGCTGAAAACCCCAGCAGGCCCGTCAGAACCTGGTCTGAGAGGTCCACGTCCATGTAACCAGTTCCGTCCGAGATGGAGGCGCTGACCCGCCACTCCCCCTTACTGCATTTGAGGTTCCCTTGCAGGGTGACGATGAAGGCTTTCACACACACCTCGCTCACGCGCTCCAGCAGGCCTGAGGGGCTCGCAACCTGTTGCAGCAAACACAGGTAAGTAAACGGGGGTGAATCGAGCGTCACAGTCGCCGCACTCTCTGAGATTTTGGTCGAGAGCCTCTCTGCTCCTGCCACAGAGGGCTGGCCTGTTCCCAGTTCTCTGACACAGGTACTATCTAGTATTTGCTCCTGTCTAGGAGCTTTTGGCTCCGGTGGGAAGAAGCAGCTCATGTCCTCGTCCAAAACAGGATCATCCCTCTCATCAAGGGAGTCAAAATGGCTTTCGTTTCTCATGTCATCTGATGGGGGAGAGTAGGAGTTGGAGGCTTCTTCCTGCCCTCTCCTCAGGTCGTCTCTTTGATTATCCCTCCTGTTGTTTGTCGATTGGATTGGGCTCTCCTGGAAAATGATACCGTCAAGCTCATCCAGGGGAAGGTCATCAAAGTCCTCATCTGGGATGTCCAAATTGTCCAGTTCAAGGGCCTCATGGCGTGAAGGGCTTTCGAGTGCAGAATCTGCAAGGCTTTCAAAGCACCGACTCTGCAGCGATGCATTTCTGTAAGAGGCAGAGGATGCCTCACTGCGGGTCCTGTAGCCACTCTCCAGGCTGGGTTCCACCCTCCACCCCGCCTCCCTCTCCTGGGTCTCCAGGCTGGCCAGCAGCTCCAGGTCGTCTGGTTCCTGGTTGTCAGCCTCCTGGTTACCTGGTAGTGGGACCTCTGGCTGCTCGGCCGGACCCTGTGGCTCCTCCTCAGGCAGTCCCAGAGCCCTGCATAGCACCTTCCCTTGGGAGTGCCTCTCACCCAGCTCCTCCACCTCCCCTCCCAGCACCTTCACGTTGCCTGGCTTCAGCAGTAGCACCCCTAGCCGGCAGGTTATTTGGCCCTGCAGCTGCAGTTTGACTCCTGGCTTGAGGGTGGTGCTGAGTGCAGGGATGGGCTGGTACTCCATAGCCTCCAGGCTCTGCACGCCATCAGTGAGCTGCAGCAGCAGCATGCGTGTGGGTTTGGCCTCCCAGGGCCGCTGGGTGGCCTGGGTGATGGCTGACACAGCCTCGTTGGTGCAGTCAGTACCCCTCCAGCGCTGAAGCTGGCCATAGGCAGCCTGGCTAATGTCCAGTAGGGAGTCCAGCTGCACGCCGAAGCTGCCGCTGAGCTCTGACTTCTGGGCCCGAGATAGCCCTTCAGGGAGCACAGGGTGGGCCAGGTCACGTAGGTCGGTCAGCAGCCACTGATCCAGGACCTGCAACGACACAAATGTTACGTTTTGTGTAAAGAGCTTAAATTCAGTTGTACCGGAGTTGAGAAAAATTGTTAATAAAATAGTACCTGCTGATTAAGCTGGTGTTGAGGCAGGGGGGCCCCTCCTCCTTCCTGCTGCAGCCACTCCACGCATGCCTCTAACCAGGCGAAAGGCACCTGGACCTGCCAAGAGGAATGGAGCCAGGCCTGGGTTGCTCGCACACCCTGAGGGCTCATCCCCTCTCTGCCAGGTGGTGCCACTTGACAGGTAGCCAGATAACCTACAGGCAATTTCTCATAGACCTACAAAGTGCCAGCAGACAGAGAGAGCAGACTCACTGGCCATGCAGGGTCGGGTGCACTGAGATATAATAACAACGGGACGGGTGTTTTCAATGGGATTGGAGCGTATCTAAAAGAAAACATTCATTTCAGTAGTCTGAAGAAACAGAAATCTATAGTGTTCATGCATGCATGTGAAAGCAAGAAGCTCAGTCAGAGAAGTAACTTAGTATCATCAAAACAGTGACAGAAGTCACTTCCAAAAATTGAGAAACCTTCATTTACTTACAATGGTTTGGAGTCTTTCTGTATGAGAATTCTAGTACCGCTGCTTTTCGTTGGGCGATTCGCCAAGGCGCCCAAATGTTGGCGGCAGAGTAGAGTGAAAATGTTTGTGAGGAGCTAATGCGAGCTCCCATAATACTTTTTTTTTTACATTGCGCGAAACATACTAAATATGTGATACCTGCATGTTAGAACTATGATAGCATTAGCAAGATACATCCCTATATGAACATAACTAGTAAGTATTCACATTATCAGCAAGACTGAACGCGAAACATGCTGCAAATCAACCAAACTATCTAGGTACGGAAGAATGGGGTCGTCACTAGTTACCACAGACACAAAGTCATAAACCCCGCCTATTTCTAAAATGTTCTTCCTAAAATCAGATTTTAAATCTAACCTTAACCTTAACCCTAACACAAACCACACTGTTAACCTTATGCCTAACACTAACCTTAAATTATGACCAAAAAGCACATTTTTGTTTTAATTAATTTTAACGATAGCCAAGTTTGACCTTGTGGCTGTGGTAGTGAAAACCGGAAGGCATCGTCAGTGCAATCTAAGATCCTTGGGATGTCCCTAACCTTAACTCCTACCCTTATCCTAACCATAACCCTTACCTAACCCTAACCCTTTATTTAACTATTTTACATTTAAACTCCAAAGGGGAGGGGGGGGGGGGGGTATGGACGTCCCAAGGATTCCAGACAGTACGGACCTCGGAAGAATGAGTGACAACAACTTTAGCTTGAGACACGCCTCCATCCTGTGATTGGCATACGAGCTATCCAATGCTTGCTCTTTATTTTCAATTCAATCGAAGCGGCTACCTCTTTCTTCAGTGCACATTTTCAGAGCAGTTTTTTTGTGTGCTTGCGTTCTTCCTCAGAGTGAGAAAGGTCGAAAACGAGTAGCGATACCAGGTGTAGCACAGGTCTGTTTTACACACATTTCTATTTATCTTTGTAACGAATAAATTACATTACATTTGATTACACATTAATGCGATGGTATGAGCAAAAACATTTGAAAGCATTCGCGTAACTACATGACCAAAGCAATGCCAGCAATGGCTTACTGGCTAGCAAATGTTAGCTAATTATTATATCCGGTGTAACGTTAGCAAGTTACTGTAGCTAGCTGTTTTCATAGCTAGTTAGTTTACACTGCTACATTTAGAATATAAGTCGTCAAGTGTAGATATGTCTTTCATAGGTTTCTTCTAAGTTACACGATTGTTTATTCATGCCCCCAGCATGAATGTAGCTACCTACATAATACTAGCAGCCCGATGGCTAGTTAGTTAAACAACAGAAGCTAACGTTAGCTAGCCATCTTTAGCCAAGGAATGAACTTGCTAGCTTCACAAGATGGATGCTAGTTTGTTCTTACTCACCTAGCTAGCTAGCGTGCACATTTTCTCGTCTAGCCTAGAGAGCTACCTACATAGTTGGGTTCTCAAACGTTATGCGCACATCATTAAATGGAATGCCGGATGAGCAGACGCTTACTTTTACTGTAGTTAGCTAAACATGTGTGCAGTGTAGCTAAGATCAAGATAATTATCGGTGCGAGATGGTTCTGAGACGAGCCCTGTTTGCATTGACATTCCCATTTGTCCCCACTCAGATGTCGATATTATGGTGCCAGGTCGAATATGTTGTCAAATGTAACGGGATTGAAACTTCACTCATGCGATTGACCTTCATTAGATACATAAATTAACTGCGCATGTGTATCATTTCATTCCGCATTAGTATGATCAGTTCAGTAACGTAAATGTAAATTGTCATCTGGTTTCCTCTTCCAGAATTTTAAAGAGCTCAACGCACGCATTAATTTGAATCAATGCTATTCCAGATGCTACACCTCATCACATCTGCTGTTTTATTTTATGAAATGTGTCATTACCAAACGCTAATCCGCATTTATTACAGTTTTGTAATCGTATCAAGTGTCGTGTAAAATTATTCTCGGGCACGTTTAGTTATGGCACTAGCTAACGGTAACCAACCTTCGCTTTTTTTCAATAGGTTAGCAGCGGTTCTGAGACTTGTTTCGTTCCGCCCATAACACGCCCATCTTCTCGCAATAAATAGCGGTAAGTGGTGGTTACCAGGCTCTCATCTGCCTGTTTCGTCAGTTCTGAAAACTCAAAATCCTGCTCTCATCAACTTACATCGACCATGTCCCTCCACAGCCAGTCAGACCGAGGTGCCCTCTCCTTGCTCCCCGCCCTTACCTGCTCCCAGGACCGAGGTGCCTGGTCTACCCTGCCCGGTGTTAACTGACAATGGAGACAGAAATTGAACAAGAAGATACCTCATTCAGCAACACAGAGACCAACGGTGAGTTTTAATCCCTTCCTGTTTTAATTATATGTTACTAGTATATGAATATGAACAGTATAGTTATTTAAAATAATGTAAGCTGTGTGGTGCACCGTGTATGTCCTTTCCTGTATTCATGACTTATTAAAATTTATCAATGGTCTAAAATATAAGCATTTAAATTCCTAAATTGTAGCTGCCAGATATGTGCCCAAAAAGTTCAGAGCAGATGTGTGTAGTGAAGAAGCCATATCTATTAAATCTATACTGTTTTAACATGCAAGTACAATGAGTGGGAAATTAGTATTAAATGTGTATTGTTTTTACATAAACTGAATGCAAATCTAAAGAACCTGTGTATGTGGGAGATTAAACTCAGTGTTTTTCCTTCTCAGGTAAGCGTCCCGCGGAGGACGCTGATGAGGAGCAGTCCTATAAACGCTCCAGGAACACAGAGGACATGGTGGAGCTCCGCATACTCCTACAGAGTAAAGTCAGTCCGCTTTCTGTTCCTCATTCACAATCCCTTCAACACCCACAATCTCCTCATGGCGTTTCCTGCAATATAGCCTGTCTTCTTTCCTCCCCAATTATTTATTGAACCTTTATTTGACCAGATCTGGGAGTTTAATAACTTTTTTTATTTTTCTACACCCGGTGGTTCAGTGTCCGATTTTAATGGCGGCAAGGTCCGTTTTCGATTATGTAGTATGGAGATGTTTTGAGGATGTTTTTGACGTTATATCACAATAAGTTGGATGTCATCTGACTAATCTCTTTTTCCTTCAGAATGCAGGAGCCGTGATTGGGAAGGGTGGTAAAAACATCAAATCCCTGCGCACAGACGTGAGTACATTTACACCACTCTTTTTATTGGAGCAAGCGCTGGGTATATTTACAGTACCCGCCCCCTTATACTGGGATGTACTTTGGGAATGTATGATTTTAGTACTTTATATGCGAAAGTTGAGCATTTTACATTTGGTAGGTTGGCCTTAAGAAAATGGGTCTGTTAACTATGGTTGGAAGTAAATCTATGATATTTTGGGGTGACGGTTAATGCAAGGATATGATGTGAATTGAGACCTGCTTTACACCAGTTGTGGTAATAACCCTCCAAAGTGTAATGTCATTGTAATCAAATGGCCCCCGCTAATTGATATGAAATACCTGGCCTTTTTTTGCGTAATGAATAGTGCTATTACTACCAGGCATCAGCACTGCTAAGACTGTCATTAATACTTGAGTGGGCCCAGTGTATGGCCCAGTGTATTTTAGGGTATAGCACCGAAAGCCATAGGAAATGTCTTGTGTATATAAACAGCCTGGCCAATTCTCAACTAATTGAATGTCATTACCTCTCTCTTTCTCTACTCTCCACTCTTCTCCCTCTCTCCTCTTCTCCTTCTTTCTCACCATTCTCTCTACATCTCCCCCTCCTTTTCTGCTCTCATTCTATCGGTCTTCATCTCTAGCTCAATACCTTTTCCTTTTCTATCTCTACCTCTGCTCTCTTAAAAAAACACTCAGAGAATGAAATCACAATGAAGAATATTAGCCTGTATTAAAATGTATTCCTCTTCCCCCTCCCTCTTCCCCCTCCTGTTTTTTATTTTTGTTTATTTTTGCCCACTTCCTCTGTTGCCCATGTTCTGGATCGCCCCTCCTGCGCCCGCCCACCTGACACCCTGGTTGGCCCTGCCCATAATCGTGCCCCTCCCTAAATGGGCGCCTTACTTGATTGACATCTGTGTGCTCGAATGGCCCCTGCCCATACCACGCCCACGGCCCTTGCAGTTCAATGCCAGTGTGTCAGTCCCAGACAGCAGTGGGCCTGAGCGGTATGTCCCTAAGCTCCTCCCTCTCACTGCCTGACTACAGGAAATAAACAAACAAACCTGCCTTGTTCTAGTGACAATATCAAAACCTGCCTCTGTTCCTGTGACAAACATGTACACCTTCCTCCATTTGTTCAGTGACAGCATTATAAGCCTCTGTTTTTAGTGAGGGTTTCAACAAATACTTTAAACCTGCCTCTGTTCTAATGACCGTATTTCAATATTCTATATTTTATTTCAGTGACAGTATCTTTCCCTTCCACGTTCCTCACCTCCCTCCTTCCCCTCTCAGAATTGGTGTACTGATCTGTTTAGTTTCTCACATTCCCCCCCATCCCCTCTTCCTTGTTCCCACATTGATTTTTGGGGGCGGTTTGACCACTGTAATGACTGTAAAGTATGTTCTGCCATAGAGCCGCTAGGGTTCAAGTGTTGTATGTATTTTTCTCGTCTTTACTCTTCATATTGCCTTTTCCATTGTTGGAACTGTTGAACGTGAACTTATTTGTCACCTCATCCCTGTGGCCCATGCCTTCCCTCAACATCCTTCTGTCCAATAGTGAGGAGCATAACTCACTGTTGCCCTGCCAACTCTCACCCATCTTTAAGTTAACTTTAAAGTGTTCCTTAGTTTGATTCTTTTGTTTTGGCTTAGCCTACTACTCTGTCATCTTGTTTTTTTTTATTGGCCTTTGATTCTTTTTAATTTTTCTCCCCCATGTTGAGCTACAGTACAGTTCCTTTAGCGCACTGGCAGCAGGCCCCATTGGTGCAAACCACTCACCAACCTTTCCTCCCCCTCCCTCTTCTAGTGGTCACTAAAACACACTTGCTTTCTTTGGGTTCCTTTTACCTTTTTTTTTTTTTTTTTGTTCCTCTTCTTTGTCAGATACTTTGAAGGGGGTTGCTTTTCCTTTTTTTTCCACCCAGTCTTTATTTGTGTATGTATGGGTAGATATCAAAGGGTTTTGGGCTGTCCATTTCTATCCCTCAGTTGTGATTTTGGGGGTGCACATAGAAATATAATTGCTAGATATGGCCGCTGGTCCACTCATCACAGAACATTGACTTGAATGGGAGTGTCCATTCTAGTAATTATATTTCAATGGGAGTGCCACCCGGTTAACCCCCACGGCGGGGGTGGGAGGGAATGGGGTCTTCATTCGTTATTAGACGGTATGGTTGAAGTTTTGCTGAGGGAGAGTTGACCTCAGCTCTGAAATACTGTTTGTTTCCTCTATGCCCCTTGTCACCATTTGATTGGTCCTCCTGGGAATGTCCTGTGCTGTGATTGGTGGCTCTAAAGCATTCTGAGCATCGGTGCGGAAATCGAGACTGTTGGAGAGATCCTGCTCAAGATCATCCCTACTCTGGAGGAGGTGAGCCTGGGTTGGGGATGAGGAAGAATGAGATGAGCCTAATGGCCGCCTACCATTTTCAATGATAGTCCTGTGTGGGACAGCTAGATATTGAGTGTGTTGATAAAACAAAACCTATAGATATCAAATGCACAGATCTGAATATGGTGACGCTAAAGTATTTTTCTCTGATTGCCCCCAATCCTCCTCAGTACCAACAGTACAATGGGATGGACTTTGACTGTGAGCTGAGGCTGCTGATCCACCAGAGCCTGGCAGGCAGCATCATTGGTGTGAAGGGAGCCAAGATCAAAGAGCTACGAGAGGTACAGTTACTCTGAACTTCTCACACTCATATCTTCTCATCTGGGTCATGTTCAGTAGCTAAAAAAAATGGAGAACATCTTAAAACCAGGGAGATAAACCTGAACTTGTCCCATAAGAATGCACATTTTCCTTTTCAAAAAAGTGTATTTAGTTTTGAGCCTACCCTGATTCAAAGTTTTTCTGTGGGTTCTTCTCAGACGTATGACATTGCTTTGTCTAATTTGACCAGTGTTGACTTTGACCGTTACAGAACACCCAGACCAACATCAAGCTGTTCCAGGAGTGCTGTCCCCAGTCCACAGACCGAGTGGTTCTGGTCAGCGGCAAGTCTGAGCGTGTCGTCGAGTGCATCAAGATCATGCTGGATCTCATCGCTGAGGTTGGTACTCTTATCTAACCATTGACTGAGCTGCTAACATACCACATACCAGTGTAAATACCACAGCCAGTCGACTCTAGAAATTGTGTGATCCTGTCCCCCTCAGGCTCCCATAAAAGGGCGCACCCAGCCCTACGACCCCAACTTCTACGACGAGACATACGACTATGGTGGCTTCACCATGATGTTTGAGGAGCGTGGGGGTGGTGGTGCCGGTGGTGGGCGGCGCCCCATGGGGGGCTTCCACATGCGAGGGGGACGAGGTGGCGGAGGATTTGACCGGATGCCCTCAGGGCGAGGGGGTCGAGGTGGGCCCATGCCCCCCGCCCGCAGGGAATATGAGGAGATGAGCCCCCGCCGTGGACCCCCACCACCCCACCCAGGAAGAGGGGGAAGGGGGGGGAGCCGTGGCCGCAACCTGCCCCTGGCCCCACCCCAAAGAGGAGGAGGGTAAGAGAGCTACACCATCGCTCATTGCCATTTCTCTTCTAATCTCTCAATCAATTTTGCTTTGTCTACATCGGTTTGCTCTCAAAAGTTCAGCAGATATAATTATATGATCCCATTTAAATATGTATTTCATTCATAGTGTGTGTGTGTGGCCTCATGTGTGTGTTCCATATCCACGTTATTTGCAGAGATGATCATTACTCCTATGACTCCTATCGGGGCAGTGCAGATGACAGACAAAAGTAAGTACTTCTTCAGCCAACACTGTGGTCAGCCAACACTGTGGTCAGCCAGTCAGCCAACACTGTGGTCAGCCAGTCAGCCAACACTGTGGTCAGCCAGTCAGCCAACACTGTGGTCAGCCAGCCAGCCAACACTGTAGTCAGTCTGTCTTGCGTGAGACTGGTCCTCTGATTACTGGTCTCATCTCTGCCATCAGTCTGTCATCACCTCTTACTTTTGTGTGAATGCTGTGTTTTTCTCTGACTGTCTGTTGTTTGACTTGGATCAGAGCTCTGCTGACAAGCACTCTCTGCCGTGTCAATATTTTCCTCAAGTCAGACTTCCGTTTTCTCTCTTTATCTCAGCAGTGACAGAAGAGGGAGACCAGGAGATCGCTATGGCGATAACATGGTTAGTGACACATGACTAAATGCATGCAGCAGTCATCTTGGCATTTATTGTCTGAAAGCATCATCATACGCTGAAAAGCCAGTTGGTCTTAGACAATGATTGCAATTGGCTGATAATAACCACATCACCATGACCACAGCTAACCACACAATAAATCCCAACAATACATTTACCACTAACATTAAACATGTAATAAACATGACTTTACCACAGTAAACCATACCATAAACACAGGTAATGGGTAACTTACCCACAGTAATAATTACCCATACCACCATGACCACTACCATCTATGCAATCATGGGGGGGAACTATGCTGTGGTTGCTAGGTGTTAATAATAACGCTTTGTTGTCAGATGGGTGGGCTCTCTTTGAGAGCTGGCAGAAACTGCCTCCAGTTGCTCGGCAACTGATTTTTGAATTGCTTGTTGCCCTGGTGACTGAGGAGCCTCTGAATAGCAGGTGAAAGCTGTGGAGTGAGTGGCTGGTAGAGATGCAAGCAGGGGGAGTGTTCTACAGCATCAAATAGGGGCTTTTGGACAAACTGGGCAACTCAATCCTGACCATGCAAGGCTGGGGTTGCATGCATCCATGAGTGTATACAACAGATCACTAGGAAATGTGTGTTGTGGGTTTAACCCTGCCCCCTTTCTCTTTTCTCTTTCTGCAGGGTGGAGGTGGATATGGTGAGTTGTTCTGTTCTTCCTATGTGGTTCTGTCTAGAAGGCCAGTCTGAGTTCTGTTTCATTGCTGTTTCCAGTGGCACATAGATGGCTAGTGGTTCTCCAGTGTATGTTCTAGAACCTGATTTCAGCTGGTCTGCTGTATAAGGCTACTAATACACTTACTCAACAGTCTTGAGCGTATTGTTTTACCCCAAGGCTACTAGTCTACTATCTTTGTTTTGTTATTTCAACTGTTTATATGGGATATCATCTTTAAAATGTGTTGCTCTACTCTGTGTATCAGGTTGGTAAATACTTATTTGTTTATGGTACCAGTCTGCTGTGGATGTGGATTTTAGCATATTTTCTAATAAACTTCAACCTATACGGCCAACTTCCCTAAGTGTAGATCTATTTTCTCGGTCTCTCTCCTTTCAAAAAGATAACAGCTCGTCCTGGAACTCCTATCAGTCTGGTGAGTCTATAGAAACGCGTCTTGGCAGCCTGGTATTCAATGTTGTTAGGTCATGGTATCATTAAATATGTTACGGTTTTGTTAATAGAACCTCCACACTTACTCAAGCTTTTTCTCTGATCTCTCCTCGTCTGTGTTAGGTGGACGCGGTTCCTATAATGATATGGGAGGGCCAGTCATCACCACACAAGTGACGATCCCCAAAGACGTGAGTGTATAATCAGAGGGGTGACTCCTCTTTACCTCACATACTCTGTTCACATACAGCAGGGGTGTCAAACTCATTCTATATAGGGCCTAGTGTCTACGGGTTTTTGTTTTTTTCCTTTCAATTAAGACCTAGACAACCAGGTGAGGGGAGTTCCTTACTAATTAGTGACCTTAATTCATCAATCAAGTACAAAGGAGGAGTGAAAACCTGCAGACTCTCGGCCCTCCGTGGAATGAGTTTGATACATGACATACAGAGTAATGACTCGGTCAGTCTCACCCACCATGGCCTATGAAACCCTAATGCAACACAACACCCACATTCTCTCACACCCGCATTCTCTCACACACACATATTTTCACACTTTTCTTGTGCATGATGTTCTGTTGACTGTGGTGGTGTTTTCTCCAGCTGGCCGGCTCCATCATCGGTAAGGGAGGCCAGAGGATCAAGCAGATCCGGCATGAGTCTGGCGCCTCCATTAAGATCGATGAGCCATTGGAGGGTTCAGAGGACCGCATCATCACCATCAGCGGCACCCAGGACCAGATCCAAAACGCTCAGTACCTATTGCAGAATAGGCAAGTTCTGGATGCCCTCTGAGTGAATAGAGAGATCATGTCTGCCTTTCTATATATTATCCTCCCTGTTTTTATACACACCTTTTGATCTCAAAATATATGTGTAGATGTATATCCCCCCCCCTCCCCACCTTTTACTGTCTTATTATATTTCTCTTGTCTGCTGATGGTGACTAACCACTCTCCTCCCATGCAATGTGTGCAGGTGGTTTTAGCTTGTGAAATGGCTGTGTATTAAAAACTAATTTTACAGAATACTTGTACAACTATTATATCGATACAAAACTGGAGATAAATATTTTCGTTGGTAATGTCTGTTTTTTAAAGAATGTGATTGGTGAAATGTGATTTTATGACCTAAGAGCCGTTTCAGTGAGAAGCAGGGAGTGGACTTCTTCCCTGCCTGTTGCTGTGTGGAAGACTAGTGATTTTGTTGTGTTTAGTTAGATGAATCGACAACAAATCACAGTCTGCCAAATGGCACAGGCTCCTCCTCTTCTGTCTCCCCGGCAACCATCAGCGTGTCTCATTGCGCAGATGCTAATATGCTAACACTGCCTCGTAGCCATGGTGACTAACCCTGCCTCCCTTCCTCCTCCCTCAGCGCACTGCACCTGCTCGGACACCAGGACTAACCCTCGCCTCAGACTACGCCCACATCCCGTGCTCTCCCTGTCTCTGACTCTCACCCCCCTCTCCCACCCCCAATCCCTCCCTCCATATATATATATATATATATATATATATATATATATATATCATCTTAATTGACTCCTGTGATTTCTCTTTTTTTTTACTCTTTATATTTCAGTGTGAAGCAGTACTCTGGTCAGTTCCTCTAAACCCAGGAGACACAGATTGAAGCAAATCCCCCACCCCCCCCATCTTATTGTCCCGGTTTGTGGGAATTTTGTTAATGTTTTATTTTTTAAAGGGCCAACATTCCTGTGCTTAATGTAGACGTTCTGCATTTTTTGTGTAGTTCTCTACTCCTCCATCTCTTATCTGTATTTTTAAAACACACATTTGTCTAAATATTTGGAGTCCGATAGACAAGTGAACATTATCTAATTTTTTTGGATGGGTTGATTTCTATGGTGTGTGTGTGTTTGTCAGTGGAGTAAGCCTGTCCCGTGTGTGTTCTCTTTCTGTTTGCGTTGGAGTTTCTCACCCACCCCCCTTACCACCACTCAGTGCAACGTGCAGAATGTAAGCTTTTTTGTTGTTGTTGTAAGGAACATTTTATGATTTTTCAAAAATAAATGTAGGAAATTGAACTTCTTGTTCATGTTTTTCAGTTCATTAATTGTATTTTCCGGATGCATGGGGTGTGAGGGATTATAAATACACAAGTATCCTTATTATTCATGACATTTCCTGGCTGTAAAAATGTTTCCCCTCAGTTTTGTACTGACAAGAGGTAGCCTATTGAATAGCTGTGCCACTAGAGATCCTGGTTCGAATCCAGGCTCTGTCGTAGCCGGCCGCGACCGGGAGACCCATGGGGCGGCGCACAATTGGCCCAGCGTCGTCCAGGGTAGGGGAGGGAATGGCCGGCAGGGATGTAGCTCAGTTGGTAGAGCATGGCGTTTGCAACGCCAGGGTTGTGGGTTCGATTCCCATGGGGGGCCAGTATGAAAAATAAAAAAAATTATGCACTCTGGATAAGAGCGTCTGCTAAATTACTAAAATGTAGAATATTCATAAAATACATCCTCCAATTGCAACGTCTGCCTATGCTCACACGTTGTCTCAAGAAAATGTTTTATTTTTAAAACCCTCAAACGCCAAGTTAGGCATACTTAATTTCAAAATAGGCTGTCACTGTCAATTATAATTCTTCACGAAATGTCAAAACTGCATCTACATGACAATAATTTGTTATCAATCAGTTTCATGGGAATATGCATTTAGATATTCTTCAATTAGTTTTTCGTGAGCAAATTAGAGCAGATGGTGTTAACTATACTAAACAAAAATATAAACGCAACATGTAAAATGTTGGTCCCATCTTTCATGAGCTGAAATAAAAGGTAACAGAAATTTTCCAGCTGAACAGAAAGCTTATTTCTCTCAAGTTTTGTGCACAAATGTGTTTACATCCCTGTTAGTGAGTATTTCTCCTTTGCCAAGATAATACATCCACCTGACAGGTGTGGCATATCAAGAAGCTAATTAAACAGCATGATCATTACACATGTGCACCTTGTACTGGGGACAATAAAAGGCCACTTTAAAATGTGCAGTTTTGTCATACAAAACAATACCACAGATGTCTCATGTTTTGAGGTAGTGTGCAATTGGCATGTGGACTGCAGGAAAGTCCAACAGAGCTGTTGCCAGAGAATTGAATGTTAATTTCTCTACCACAAGCCACTTCTAATGTTTTAGAGAATTTGGCAGTAAATCCGACCGGCCTCACAATCGCAGACCACATGTAACCACGGCACCTCGTCTAGACCTTATTTAGACACAATCTTTCAACTTTATGTTCATGCTCATTTCACTGTTGCAGAGTCATGGTCTATAGTAGCAAAGGGTTCAAGGTCCAAACCATTTCATCATGTTTGTTTTTTTATAGCTGATTTTACTGTAGTGGTGGTGCAATAGTAGATATAGGGTGCAATATAGCATGGGAATCCAAACTAAACAGCTGCCACTTGTTTCACTTTACTGATAAAATAATGGAAAAAATGAAAAATCTAATAAAATAACGAAAAATGACTAAACTAACAATTAATAATAATAAAATGGTCACAAAATTTTACGACAGATTAAGGTTGGATTAGGAACAACAAACTGAAATGGCATATCCTTTGCAGTGGAGGCTCCTCAGAGGAGGAAGGGGAGGACCATCCTCAGTGAATTTCATAAAAATAAAAATGGTAAAACATTGAAAAAGTTCTATTTTTTTGATAAAACTACTAAATATATTAATGTCACCAAATATTTGATTAAAACACTGTTTTGCAATGGTCTACAGTAGCCTCAACAGCACTCTGTAGGGTAGCACCATGGTGTACCTCCTCTTGGTACGTTGACTTTGATACAAAACCTAGGAGGCTGTTGGTTCTCACCCCCTTCCATAGACTTACAGAGTAATTATGACAACTTCCGAAGGATGTCCTCCAACCTATTAGAGCTTTTGCAGCATGAACTGACATGTTGACCACCCAATCAAAGGATCAGAAAGCAAAAGCTACAGCTAGCTAGCACCGCAGTACATAAAATGTGGTGAGTAGTTGACTCAAAGAGAAAGACAATAGTTGAACAGTTTAACAAATTAATTTCTTCAAAAATGAAGGAGAAGCGAGAGAGAGGGAGATTGTCCTTTTTTTCATGTTTCACTGACTTAGCTAGCAAATGCATCTGGCTAGTTTAGTTACTCAAACACCCGGCTCAAACAGAGGGATGCTATGCTGGCTATGACTATCCAACACAACACTGGAACTCATCCAAGTCAAGGTAAGCTTTTGGTTTTATTAATTTATTGCCACCGGGGCCCTCTGGTCTAACTGCTTACTGACTATACACTGTACCTTTACTTCATGATTGTAGCGGGTTTACAGTGTTGCCAACTTAGCGACTTTATTTAGCGAGTATTCAAACCCCTCTAGCGACACATTTTCAAAAAAGCGACTAGCGACAAATCTAGCGACTTTTTCTGGTGTTATTGGAGACTGATGTGAAAGCACGTATCGTTCTTACTCTTCTCAACGAGCAGCGGGTGCTGCCGTGGGCCCCACCCCCTTCCCAAAGCACTCACAGGCGGCCCAGTCCTCGCGCTGCAGTCAGAGCAGGAGATGTTCACCCCTCCGCGTCCAGAACTGCAAATGAATCACGCATGCGGGAAGCCTCCGCTGGCTGATCCCGCCCTGGGTTAATTCAGGGCGGGATGTAAATGTAAAACATAAAAAAAAAAAAAGAATCGACGGAAGAAAGTTCATTTGTAGTTCTAAACATATTTAGGGTGTTTTTTACTCACTTTTTGTCTCTCCCACAATGTCATTCCTCTCTCCTACAGTGTCCATCACAATTACATGCACATGGCCAATTATGCAAATTAGGTGATGACGTCATTTAGCGACTTCTAGCGACTTTTAGGACAGCCAATAGCTACTTTCCTTATTGAGGAGTTGGCAACACTGGACAGATAGATAGCCATCCCTGCCCCGCAGTCCTCCATGGCATTGAACATGTCCACCTCACTCCACTGCTTCCTCTTGACTTTCTCCATGCTGTGGTGGTAAATACATGTAGCTAAATAACTTGGCATACTATACATATTTTAGAAAGACAACTCAATCTGAATATGTATAAACATTTACAATTCAAAGCTAAGGCATTGAAAGGTGATTAAAGTTTTTACAATAACTGAAAGTGTACCCACGTTTTTTGTTTGATGTTATCTGTAATGAAAATTAGTGTTCCAATTAGTTTAATATTGATGCATACATTGTAACATTTGACTAAATACTGCCTCTATGTAGCTGTTGTAAGATTAAACATAGCAAACAGTGATCGGTGTCAAAATGTTCATGGTTCAAAGTTCCAAATACATTTTTGCAGATTGTGCTAAACGCCTCCGTCAGAGGACTCCAATTTTGATACGGTAAAGCTTGACAACATTCAGCTGTTTTCGTGATATGTATTATCTAATGCTTACAATTTCTTTCCTTTTTGCTGTCTTAGCAGTTCTATCAACATTTAGCAACTAAGCTAGCAACATTAGAAAATCCGTTCGGTATATTTCAGAGGTAAAAAATTGGATAGTAAATTATGTGTGGTCTGTCGCGCAGTCGAATTTTACAATATGCAGCGTGTCCCACAAAATGTGTATATATATAACTTTTTTGAAAACTCTCAACCTAACATACATAAATTGCACTGAAAATCGGTGGTCAGCTAGCTAGAAGGGTGTCTTTAGTCGCAAAACCTTCCGTTATTTTCCAGTCCATTTAAATGTTGAGCTCGAGGTGATTTAGTCCTCCAACCACTAGAGAGGGTCCGAAGTTAGGGGGTGTCCGATGTTGGGGGGGAAATTAGCTAGCGGGTTTACTAATGCATTAGTTCTATTAGCTATGTTGACTAGGATGTTACTTTAGCTAATATGGGGACAACGATTGTAGGCTTTGTGTAGCGGTTATGACATGGTTTGGCTTGGAAAGGTTTTTTCGCCTGGTCACATACAGCTGATGTGTTGTTCATTGAAGTCCACAAAGGGAAAAGGTGAGAGGAGGAGAGTGCATAGAGGCTAGAATGAATACAACGACGTGGCTGCTATGAAAGTGAACTCCGTTTATGCGTGATCTGGGGTGTATTCATTCCGACCGATTCTGTTAAAACGTTTCTTAAACGGAAGCAAACGAAACGGGGATAAAAAATACCTGAATTTGTTCAATAGAAACTCTTGTTTGCAACTGTTGGACTAATGATTACACCCTAGATAAGCTAGATGCAGGCAAGAGTGTGCAGGGCGGTATTGAATGTGTCACTGTCTGGCCTTGTGTCACTCTGTCAACTCAAATGTTTCTCTCGACCTGTGTGCACCTACGTTGTAAACGTTCATTCATAGGGTAGGTTGTAGCAACCTCGTGATGGGTATAGGGAAAATTCAAGTATCATGTAGTAGCCTAAACCTATCGATGTTACATTGAACTGGGTGAATGGAAAATGAACGACAGTCATCCAACATGCTGTAATAGAAATAAGGCCATGTTCATGAAAAAAAAAAAAATCCTCCCTCATCATAAACGGCAAATGCCCCGCCACTGATCCTTTGGTACTGTAAAGTCTTTCGAAACAACAAAGATAGTGGATCTGAGGAAACCATTACAAGCGACCTCTTTGTTTTTCCGCCTTCGTCTGACGTAGGCTACAATCTAATTGGTTGATGTTGCTTTGACGTATGGAAAAGAGCCACTTTGATTTGTCAATGAATGACAGAGACCGGATATAGGCCTACTGTCACTATCGCTCCACGCGCATTGTATTTAAAAAAATAACTAACACACTATCGCTCCTTGTTCTATCTGTGCCGCTACTTTAGCTAAGTCTAAAGTCAACGTAAGTAGCTATTGTAGGCTAACTACACTATTGGTCATTTTAAAAAGTAATTGTATCGTCGTGGACATCGGTGATTTCCTAGCACTTTTAACTGATGTTTCTTTTAACAATCCAGTAATACTACATTCGAAAAAGTACGTAAAAATGTAGCATGTACAATGGACGGTCACGTCTCATTTCACATGATGGAGGGTAATTATGCCACGTTCAGAACAACTGGGAACTCGGAAAAAGACGAGGTCAAATCATGACGTAAGTGATCTTCAGGTCGGAAAGTCTGAGCTCTAATTCCGAGTTGGATGACCGTTCAAATCGCTTGGAAGTCCGAGATTTCCGAGTTCCCAGTGGTTTTGAACCCGGCATTACTTGCGTCAAGTCTGGTTAAGACAGTTTACTCGATTTCCTGTCACAGTGGACTCATGCTGCCTTCATAACCAAATGGAAAGGTGGTAATTACCAGTTGTACAGTCGTCAAAATATTTGAGAATGACACAAGTATTGGTCTTCACAAAGTTCGCTGCTTCAGTGTTATGAGATATTTTTGTCAGATGTTACTATGTTATACTGAAGTATAATTACAAGCATTCCATAAGTGTCAAAGGCTTTTATTGACAATTACATTACGTTTATGCAAAGAGTCAATATTTGCAGTGTTGACCCTTCTTTTTCAAGACCTCTGCAATCCGCCCTGGCATGCTGTCAATTAACTTCTGGGCCACATCCTGACTGATGGCAGCCCATTCTTGCATAATCAATGCTTGGAGTTTGTCAGAATTTGTGAGTTTTTGTTTGTCCACCCACCTCTTGAGGATCGACCACAAGTTTTCTCAATGGGATTAAGGTCTGGGGAGTTTCCTGGCCATGGACCCAAAATGTCGATGTTTTGTTCCCCGAGCCACTTAGTTATCACTTTTGCTTTATGGCAAGGTGCTCCATCATGCTGGAAAAGGCATTGGTCGTCACCAAACTGTTCTTGGATGGTTGGGAGAAGTTGCTCTCGGAAGATGTGTTGGTACCATTCTTTATTCATGGCTGTGTCCTTAGGCAAAATTGTGAGTGAGCCCACTCCCTTGGCTGAGAGCAACCACCACATGAATGGTCTCAGGATGCTTTACTGTTGGCATGACACAGGACTGATGGTAGCGCTCACCTTGTCTTCTCCGGACAAGGTGTTTCTGGATGCCCCAAACAATCGGAAAGGGATTCATCAGAGAAAATGACTTGACCCCAGTCCTCAGCAGTCCAATCCCTGTACCTTTTGCAGAATATCAGTATGTCCCTGATGTTTTTCCTGGAGAGAAGTGGCTTCTTTGCTGCCCTTCTTGACACCAGGCCATCCTCCAAAAGTCTTCGCCTCACTGTGCGTGCAGATGCACTCACACCTGCCTGCTGCCATTCCTGAGAAAGCGCTGCACTGGTGGTGCCCCGATCCCGCAGCTGAATCAACTTTAGGAGATGTCCTGGCGCTTGCTGGACTTTCTTGGGCGCTCTGACGCCTTCTTCACAACAATTGAACCTCTCTCCTTGAAGTTCTTGATGATCCGATAAATGGTTGATTTAGGTGCAATCTTACTAGCAGCAATATCCTTGCCTGTGAAGCCCTTTTTGTGCAAAGCAATGATGGCGGCACGTGTTTCCTTGCAGGTAACCATGGTTAACAGAGGAAGAACAATGATTTCAAGCACCACCCTCATTTTAAAGCTTCCAGTCTGTTATTCTAACTCAATCAGCATGACAGCGTGATCTCCAGCCTTGTCCTCGTCAACAATCTCACCTGTGTTAACGAGAGAATCACTAACATGATGGCAGCTGGTCCTTTTGTGGCCGGGCTGAAATGCAGTGGAAATGTTTTTTTGGGATTAAGTTCATTTTCATGGCAAAGAGGGACTTTGCAATTCATTGCAATTCATCTGATCACTCTTCATGACATTCTAGAGTATATGCAAATTGCCATCATCAAAACTGAGGCAGCAGACTTTGTGAAAATTAGTATTTGTGTCATTCTCAAAACTTTTGACCCCAACTGTAAAGTCCTATATACCAGTTGGATGCATTCACGTGTTTTGAACTCGTTGACCAACGCTGATTGGCTAATGGACAACAAGCTGCTTCAACCATCAACTAAAAGTACAGCTATCATGCTTGTAAATACATTTTAACCATATGAATAGATTACTTTTTATCAATAATGTTTTGTTGCATTTAACTGCGGTAAATGCTGTTATCGAGGTAATTTCCCTAGTAGGTGATGTCAGGTCAGCATGTGGGAGAAGTCGGAGTTTAGGGATGGATGATGCCCCGCTCAAAACAACTGGGAACTCGGAAATCTCTGACTTTCGGCTTCAATGCGTTCAACACCAGGGAACTCGTGGAAAAAACAAGCTCCGACTGCAAGCTCCGACTGGGAAAAATAGTTTTGAACGGTCATCCAACTCAGAATTCCAACTCAGGAACTCTGTCTCTTTCTAATGCTCCGACTTTCCGACCTGAAGATCCCAGTTGCCTTGAATGCACCATGAGTTTCCCACTAGTAATTACAAGTTGGAGAGGCTTTCAAGTAGATTTTTCCCAGTCATATGTAGTAAATACCACCTTCCCACATGGTAATGAATGCAGGATTAGTTGTGTATGACTATACCGGGCTATATATTGCATTTGAGTCATTCAGGGTTGTGCTTTTTCCATTAAAGATTAACATTTATTTTTCCCATAAAAAGAGGGGAGCATGACTCAACATCAATCAATCCAATGTATTTTATAAAGCCTGTTTTTTTTACAAACATAGCAGAGTGAAGGTGGTTTTGAACCGTAGACTACCATGTTTGCAATGCTGGTGGTATGTTTAATTTGTCAAGGTACAGTGTGGTACAGTGTACCTATTTTTTAAAAGTGTATGTAGAGAGAGGGTTTGTGAAGTGGAACATTGAACATCGATGATGATGTGACTGGTCTTTGTATTTGCAGTGCTGATGGAGGCCCCACTGCCCCCCCGTGAGTCTGGCCGGTTCGTGGTAGAGCATAGTCGGGATGTGTTTGTGGAGGAGGAGGGTGTGCGGAGGGTAGCAGAGATGCTCTACTCCCTGCGGAAGAGCGAGGAGCTCACAGCCAGTGGGTGGAAGAAGGCCAACCCCCTGGCCCCCTCCCCAACCTCCGACCACGCCCTGAACTGGGTGTTTGTAGTCGACACGATGAACTTCTCCTTCTGGCCCGAACGGGAGGACCAGCAGTGTGAGGTGACGTACCGCGGGACCACCTACCGCGGTTACATGACCCTCTGTGCTGCCATCACCAGAGCAATGGAAGAGGGTAGGGTTGGGCGGTATCCAGATTTTCATACTGTTTCTGTACCATACGGTATTACTGGAAGTACACACACGGGGCGCTATATCATTTTTTATTTTATTTATTTTAATTTTTATGCACAAAACATTTTAGGCAACAGGGATCTTGATCCAGGAGGGGATTGAATGTCTCTGCTATAACCAAGAAGCTTGATCTTTACATCTAGCCACTTAGCTAGCAAGTTAGCAAACCAAATGCATAGCTGGAGCCCTGAGCTGGATATAATTTATTTGACACTTCTTAGATTTCTTATAGTTATACTTAACTTATAGCTATAGGCAGTGGCGTAGCACGCAACCCCCCCAAATAACAACAAATTAAACGGTTTTGAAGATATTGGTATTTCGAAATACCGCAGTATACGGTAGAAACGGTATATCGCCCAAGCCTAGAAGAGGGTGAGCGCTACAGTCCTATACAGTGGGGAAAAAAAGTATTTAGTCAGCCACCAATTGTGCAAGTTCTCCCACTTAAAAAGATGAGAGGCCTGTAATTTTCATCATAGGTACACGTCAACTATGACAAAGAAAAAAAAATCTAGAAAATCACATTGTAGGATTTTTAATGAATTTATTTGCAAATTATGGTGGAAAATAAGTATTTGGTCAATAACAAAAGTTTCTCAATACTTTGTTATATACCCTTTGTTGGCAATGACACAGGTCAAACGTTTTCTGTAAGTCTTCACAAGGTTTTCACACACTGTTGCTGGTATTTTGGCCCATTCCTCCATGCAGATCTCCTCTAGAGCAGTGATGTTTTGGGGCTGTCGCTGGGCAACACGGACTTTCAACTCCCTCCAAAGATTTTCTATGGGGTTGAGATCTGGAGACTGGCTAGGCCACTCCAGGACCTTGAAATGCTTCTTACGAAGCCACTCCTTCGTTGCCCGGGCGGTGTGTTTGGGATCATTGTCATGCTGAAAGACCCAGCCACGTTTCATCTTCACTGCCCTTGCTGATGGAAGGAGGTTTTCACTCAAAATCTCACGATACATGGCCCCATTCATTCTTTCCTTTACACGGATCAGTCATCCTGGTCCCTTTGCAGAAAACCCCAAAGCATGATGTTTCCACCCCCATGCTTCACAGTAGGTATGGTGTTCTTTGGATGCAACTCAGCATTCTTTGTCCTCCAAACACGACGAGTTCAGTTTTTACCAAAAAGTTCTATTTTGGTTTCATCTGACCATATGACATTCTCCCAATCCTCTTCTGGATCATCCAAATGCACTCTAGAAAACTTCAGACGGGCCTGGACATGTACTGGCTTAAGCAGGGGGACACGTCTGGCACTGCAGGATTTGAGTCCCTGGCGGCGTAGTGTGTTACTGATGGTAGGCTTTGTTACTTTGGTCCCAGCTCTCTGCAGGTCATTCACTAGGTCCCCCCGTGTGGTTCTGGGATTTTTGCTCACCGTTCTTGTGATCATTTTGACCCCACGGGGTGAGATCTTGCGTGGAGCCCCAGATCGAGGGAGATTATCAGTGGTCTTGTATGTCTTCCATTTCCTAATAATTGCTCCCACAGTTGATTTCTTCAAACCAAGCTGCTTACCTATTGCAAATTCAGTCTTTCCAGCCTGGTGCAGGTCTACAATTTTGTTTCTGGTGTCCTTTGACAGCTCTTTGGTCTTGGCCATAGTGGAGTTTGGAGTGTGACTGTTTAAGGTTGTGGACAGGTGTCTTTTATACTGATAACAAGTTCAAACAGGTGCCATTAATACAGGTAACGAGTGGAGGACAGAGGAGCCTCTTAAAGAAGAAGTTACAGGTCTGTGAGAGCCAGAAATATTGCTTGTTTGTAGGTGACCAAATACTTATTTTCCACCATAATTTGCAAATAAATTCATTAAAAATCCTACAATGTTATTTTCAGGATTTTTTTTTCTCATTTTGTCTTTCATAGTTGACGTGTACCTATGATGAAAATTACAGGCCCCTCTCATCTTTTTAAGTGGGAGAACTTGCACAATTGGTGGCTGACTAAATACTATTTTTCCCCACTGTATCTGTTCTATCTAGGGCTGCCTGTCCTCTCATACACACACTGCTCTGTGCTGTTTGCTTGTACATTGCTTTCGTTTGCAGAATGCATGCATGATAAAACCTTGGAAGTAAATTACACTCTTGCCTGTTCTAAGAATTACTGTTCAGTCTTCTTAACACATTTTCAGTAACATTTCCAATGACCTATCGTCCATCTGAACGCAGCTAATCAAGATGCCATGCCCTCTATAGGTATTCCCATCACAGAACCGTCCTATTTCTCCCAGATGAGTGTTGAGGAGTTGGGCCGTGTCTTGCGCTCTGATAACGACACGCCCATGCCCATGCTTGAGGAGCGTCACCGGGTCCTCACAGAGGGGGGACGCGTGCTCCTGCAGCATGGAGGAAGCTTCCGGAGCTTCATAAGCCCAGCCGGTAGCGATGCGCAGAAGATGGTGGAGCTCATCGTAGACAACCTGCCCTCATACAGGGACGAGGCCACATACAAGGTCATACACAAAACCCAAACTCTTCACCATAACGTAGGGTGAATTTGGAATAAGTGGGACACTTTTTGCATTTCTGTCTTCTGTAACCTATCTAACATATTAGCCCATGATACATTTCTGAAATCCTCAAGATGTTTCCTAATCACACAAACATTTTATTTTATTTTAAATTTTAGTAATTTAGCAGATGCTCTTATCCAGAGCGACTTACAGTTAGTGCATTCATCTTAAAATAGCTAGGTGGGACAACCACATATCACAGGCATAGAAAATACAGGCATAGAAAATATATCTTACCTCAATAATGTAGCAATGAGTAGTCAGCGCTAGAAGTGTGTGTGTGTGTGTGTGTGTGTGTGTGGGTGGGGTGGGGTGGTCAAGTGCAAGTTTTTGTATGTTTTTTAATGGTGGTGGGGATTGAGGTGAGGAGGAGGATTATTTAAGATACTGTTTGAAGATGTAGGGTTTCAGATGTTTTGGGAAGATGGGCAGGGACTCTTCTGTCCTAGCTTCAGGGGGATGCTGGTTCCACCATTGGGGTGCCAGGAAAGAGAAGAGCTTGGACTGGGCTGAGTGGGAACTGCCCTCCCGTAGGGGTAGGAGGGCCAAGAGACCTGAGGTGACTGAATGGAGTGCTCGGGTTGGGGTGTAGGTTTTGAGCATAGCCTGAAGGTAGGGATTTTTATATCATATTCACAGGAGGCATGACACTCATTTGTGTACACTGAGTCAAAACCATATTTTTTGTTTGCATTTGGTCGACTGGGACAGCAGGTTAGATAAACTGGGACACCATTATTATAGTCCTAATTGGACCCCAATGACAATTACATTTTGTGTGATAAGGAACATCTGAGGATTTCAGAAATATATCATGTGTTGGGCTAATATGTTAGATAGATGTCTGAAGAGGTTACAAAAAGTGTCCCACTTTTTCTGAATTCACTCAAATAACTGTGCTAATAAGATTACTACAAGAAAAAATTAACAGTATATAGTACTACAATAACCAGAGTCCCGCCTAACCTAAGTACAGGAGTCCCTACTGGATCTCTTTCCTCCATTGGAAAAGGCTATAAGACTGTCCCACTTTAGCTATTCCATGATGTCCTACTTTAGCTAGCTATGGTTGGTAAAGCGGGACAACTAAAAAAATCACTGAATTACAAAATTGAAACATAATATTGGCAACTTTTTAATGTATTTTGATGCACCAGTACATAGTATACACATTTACATCACAATTTGGCTCAGTGCATTATTTATGACCGTTTTATAACCTTAACATCAAAACAGAAAAAAAGTTATGTCACTGATCTTAACTTGTGCTTCACGGGTGAGCTTCCTGTTTGAAGCTTGCACTGCCTCCCTCTTTGATGTCACACCAATAAAGTGATGTGATGTTGATCTTGTGGTTTCTCTGCAAGGGCTTATTAACCAAGAAATAAACGCGTCAGGATTAAGCTGTCCCAGTTCATAGGATGTCCCACTCATTCCGAATTCACCTTATGTGTAGAGAGTAAGAGCACAAATGTGCCTCAGATGCGGTAAGAGTAATGTGGAAATGGTGCCATGTGGAAGCAAGGGTTAAAAACATGTTTCAGTTACAACACTTTTCAGTTACACACAATACAGTATGTTATCTATGCTATACATTCATTACCATACTTTTGATTATACAGTGGAATATAGACATTTTACGTTTGACTAAACTTTACACACAGTGACAGAAATAAGGCAAAGTGTAACCTCAGAGCTCCCCCTTCTGGCCAAATATAGGGGTGCAGACCCTACTTCAGCTCTCTTGAGGTAATTGTATATAATTTATATATACAGTCTATGGGTAATTGAGCTCCAGCTATGAGTCATCGTTGTAGTGGAATTAAGAAATAGCAAGTGATTCCACATCGGTTACACACATGTATATAAACAGTATATGTACAGTACGAGTCAAAAGTTTGGACACACTTCCTCTTTGAACGTTTTTTCTTTATTTTTACTATTTTCTACATTGTAGAATAATAGTGAAGATGTCAAAACTATGAAATAACACACCTGGAATCATGTAGTAACCAAAAAAGTGTTAAAGAAATCAAAATATATTTTAGATCTTAGATTCTTCAAAGTAGCAACCCTTTTCCCTTGATGACAGCTTTGCACACTCTTGGCATTGTCTCAACCAGCTTCATGAGGAATGCTTTTCCAACAGTCTTGAAGGAGTTCCCACATGCTGAGCACTTGATGGCTGCTTTTCCTTCACTCTGCAGTCCAACTCATCCCAAACCATCTCAATTGGGTTGAGGTCGGGTGATTGTGGAGGCCAGGTCATCTGATGCAGCACTCCATCACTCTCCTTGGTCAAATAGCCTTACACAGCCTGGAGGTGTGTTTTGGCTCATTGTCCTGTTGGAAAAACAAATGATAGTCCCACTAAGCGAAAACCAGATGCGATGGCTTATCGCTGCAGAATGCTGTGGTAGCCATGCTGGTTAAGTGTGCCTTGAATTCTAAATTAATCACAGACAGTGTCACCAGCAAAGCACCATCACACCTCCATGCTTCACGGTGGGAACCACACATGCGGAGATCATCCGTTCGTTCACCTACTCTGCGTCTCACAAAGGCACGGCGGTTGGAACCAAAAATCTCATATTTGGACTCATCAGACCAATGGACAGATTTCTTTCCGATCTAATGTCCATTGCTCGTGTTTATTGGCCCAAGCAAGTCTCTTCTTCTTATTGGTGTCCTTTAGTAGTGGTTTCTTTGCAGCAATTCGACCATGAAGGCCTGATTCACACGGTCTCCTCTGAACAGTTGATGTTGAGATGTGTCTGTATTTGTTATTTAAAAAAATATTTTTGTAAGTTTTTATTTATTTATTTATTTTACTCCTGAACTTCCTCTACCCTCAACCTCTCTGATCATTTTCATGATGTCCATCTGGTTTGCTTCTATATGCCATATCTTTCTAACCGTGCTCTTTCACAAAAGCTCTCAACCAATAACTTACAGTTGAAGTCGGAAGTTTACATACACCTTAGCCAAATACATTTACACTCCCGAGTGGCGCAGTGGTCTAAGGCACTGCATCTCAGTGCTTGAGGCGTCACTACAGACCCCCTGGTTCGATTCCAGGCTGTATCACAACCGGCCGTGATTGGGAGTCCCATAGGACGGCGCACAACTGGCCCAGCGTCATCCGGGTTTGGCCGGTGTAGGCCGTCATTGTAAATAAGAATTTGTTCTTAACTGACTTGCCTAGTTAAATAAAGGTAAAATAAAAAAATGTAAACTCAGTTTTTCACAATTCCTGACATTTAATCCTAGTAAAGATTCCCTGTCTTAGGTCAGTTAGGATCACCACTTTATTTTAAGAATGTGAAATGTCAGAATAATAGTAAAGAGTGATTTATTTCAGCTTGTATTTATTTCATCACATTCCCAGTGGGTCAGAAGTTTACATACACTAAATTAGTACTTGGTAGCATTGCCTTTAAATTGTTTAACTTGGGTCAAATGTTTCGGGTAGCCTTCCACAAGCTTCCCACAATAAGTTGGGTGAATTTTGGCCCATTCCTCCTGACAGTGCTGGTGTAACTGAGTCAGGTTTGTAGGCCTCCTGGCTTGCACACGCTTTTTCAGTTCTGCCCACAAATGTTCTATATGATTGAGGTCAGGGTTTGTGATGGCCACTCCAATACCCTGACTTTGTTGTCCTTAAGCCATTTTGCCACAACTTTGGAAGTATGCTTGGGGTCATTGTCCATTTGGAAGACCCATTTGCGACCAAGCTTTAACTTCCTGACTGATGTCTTGAGATGTTGCTTCAATATATCCACATAATTTTCCTTCCTCATGATGCCATCTATTTTGTGAAGTGCACCAGTCCCTCCTGCAGCAAAGCACCCCCACAGCATGATGCTGCCACCCCCGTTCTTCACGGTTGGGTTGGTGTTCTTCGGCTTGCAAGAACCCCCTTTTTCCTCCAAACATAACGATGGTCATTATGGCCTAACAGTTCTATTTTTGTTTCATCAGATCAGAGGACATTTCTCCAAAAAGTACGATCTTTGTCCCCATGTGCAGTCGCAAACCGTAGGCGGTTTTGGAGTAGTGGCATCTTCCTTGCTGAGCGGCCTTTCAGGTTATGTCGATATAGGACTAGTTTTACTGTGGATATAGATACATTTGTACCTGTTTCCTCCAGCATCTTCACAAGGTCCTTTGCTGTCGTTCTAGGATTGATTTGCACTTTTTGCACCAAAGTATGTTCATCTCTAGGAGACAGAACGCGTCTCCTTCCTGAGCGGTATGACGGCTGCGTGGTCCCATGGTGTTTATACTTGCGTACTATTGTTTGTACAGATGAACGTGGTACCTTCAGGCATTTGGAAATTGCTCCCAAGGATGAACCAGACTTTTGGAGGTCTACCATTTTTTTTCTGGCTGATTTCTTTTGATTTTCCCATGATGTCAAGCAAAGAGGCAGTGAGTTTGAAGGTAGGCCTTGAAATACATCCAAAGGTACACCTCCAATTGACTCAAATTGTCAATTAGCCTATCAGAAGCTTCTAAAGCCATGATGTCATTTTCTGGAATTTTCCAAGCTGTTTAAAGGCACTGTCAACTTAGTGTATGTAAACTTCTGACCCACTGGAATTGTGATACAGTGAAATAATCTGTCTGTAAACAATTGTTGGAAAGATTAGTTGTGTAATGCACAAAGTAGATGTCCTAACCGACTTGCCAAAACTATAGTTTGTTAACAAGAAATTTGTGGAGTGGTTGAAAAACTAGTTTTAATGACTCCAACCTAAGTGTATGTAAACTTCCGACTTCAACTGTATATACTTATTATGGACACAGTATGCTTTACATTAGTTATCTTGTTGTTATTAGTTGTTGTTATTAGTCCCATCCTTCAGCTCCATTCAACACCTCCCATCTATCTCTTAACACCATCCATATTGGATTTTTATTTGCCATATATTTTTCAACTGTGATGTTTCACCAAAGTTCTGAACCCTTCTATTCTCATTGTTTCTACAGATTGTAAATTGAAAATAAACATTTTTGCTAAAAGTATTATTATATTATTGATCGATTGACTATGACTTTTCAGACCACCCAGTAGTGCTATCTGCAGGATTAGCTCCAGGTAAATATTGCAATCCTTCAGCCATTCCTGGAGATGTGTCTGTTACTTGAACTCTGTGAAGCATTTATTTGGGCTGCAATCTGAGGTGCAATTAACTCTAATGAATTTATCCTCGGCAGCAGAGGTAACTCTGGGTCTTCTTTTCCTGTGGCGGGCCTCATGAGAGCATGTTTCATCATAGCGCTTGATGGTTTTTGCGACTGCACTTGAAGAAACATTCAAAGTTCTTCAAATTTTCCGTATTGACTGACCTTAATTTCTTAAAGTAATGATGGACTGTCGTTTCTCTTTGCTTATTTGAGCTGTTCTTGCCATAATATGGACTTGGTCTTTTACCAAATAGGGCTATCTTCTGTATACCCCCTTACCTTGTCACAACACAACTGATTGGCTCAAACTCATTAAGAAGGAAATAAATTACACAAATAAACTTTTAACAAGGCACACCTGTTAATTGAAATGCATTCCAGGTGACTACCTCATGAAGCTGGTTGAGAGAATGCCAAGAGTGTGCAAAGCTGTCATCAAGGCAAATGGTGGCTATTTGAAGAATCTCAAATATAAAATATATTTTGATTTGTTTAACACTTTTTTGGTTACTACATTATTCCATATGTGTTATTTCATAGTTTTGATGTCTTCACTATTATTCTACAATGTAGAAAATAGTAAAAATAAAGAAAAACCCTGGAATGAGTTGATGTGTCCAAACTTTTAACCGGTACTGTATGTCTATGGCTCTGTCGTAGCCGGCCGCGACCGGGAGACCCATGGGGTGGCGCACAATTGGCCCAGCGTTGTCCAGGGTAGGGGAGGGAATGGCCGGCAGGGATGTAGCTCAGTTGGTAGAGCATGGCGTTTGCAACGCCAGGGTTGTGGGTTCGTTTCCCACGGGGGGCCAGTATGAAAAAATAAAAAATAATGTATGCACTCACTAACTGTAAGTCGCTCTGGATAAGAGCGTCTGCTAAATGACTAAAAATGTAAAAAATTTAAATGAATTGTCTATCTGTCTACCTCAGGGAAAGAGGATTTCACTATACAAGAGAGCTCAGATTCTGGTGGCTGATTTTTGGGGCATCATGGAGGCCAGGGTCGAGGGGGACATCCCAAACCTGGACTTCCTCACCATGTTTGCTGACTACAGAGTACCACAGGCCCTGGTCCACCTGGGTGCACTGCGCTACTCAGACACCCTGATGGAGACATTGAGGAACGGTTAGTCTTTTCTCCCCTCTATGCTGTGCGTGTTTGTGTGTTGGAGCCTCCTTTGACCCTCCTCTCTCTCTCAGGTGAGTTGCTCAGCTCAGGCGACAGGAGAGAGGTGGAGATTCGTGGCTGCTCTATCTGGTGTGTGGAGAGGATCAAGGCACACTTGTGGAGTCTGGTTGAAGAGCGAGATGGCCAAAGCTGCAATATCAACTCTGCCATCATCGACTTTTATCTCTGGCCTTATGCCAAACAGCACCATAAAGAGATGGCCCACATTCCCATACACCACACACGTTGCATATATTACTGACAGGCCTACACAGAGAAACTGACTATTTTTGTGATTTAAAAACATTGGAAAATCAAAATGATGTCCTGTCCTTATTGTTTCACTTTATGCAAAGAACTGCGGCTTTGGATCTCTGGCTGAGGATGACCATACTAAGAATAAAATATAGCCAACATTTTCAAGACAATATCACATCACTTTCTTTCCACATGCTTTCAGAACTTTGAATTTGCCTGCAGCAGCACGACCACGGCATAGAGCGGCGCTGTAGCAGCGGATTGTGTCTTTTACAACGAGTGTCTTTTCTTGGACAGAAAGCGTGAGCTTCCTTGACTTATCGGTGGTATCCCATGGCAACTGGAGAGACAACAAAAACCGTTTTCACTAGTTACTACATCCACAAAGTCTATATCGTACAAATGAATGAAAACAAAAATGAGCTTTTTGGTCTTAATTTAAGGTTAGGGTTGGACTGGTAGCAGGTTGGTGAAAATTAGGGTTAGGTTTAAAATCAGATTTTAAGAAGAGAGATTGTAGAAATAGGCGGGGTTTATGACTTTGTGGCTGTGGTAACTAGTGACCCATAAAACGGACATAGAAGTCAGACGAGAAGAACAACAAAAACCGAGACGGACGATAAGATTAACGGAAAACTAGTTAGCTACAGTGATTAGGTAACCCAGCAATCAAGGGTCAGTTGAAGTTTAACTTTGTTGTTTCAAGTAACGTTACTGTTAAACAACGCCATATGCCAACTTTTAGCGTCACGGTTCGAAGTGCGAGAAAGTCGTGGTTGCTGAAGTCAGCAAGTTAAGACTTTTTCTGTAGACATGCCTTCATCAGGGAAAGGAAGTGAGGGTCTGTGTGAAACTCCATAGAGTTAAATAAAGTGACTCATTTTGTATATAATGTTACCAGCGTCCGGTTTGGTCATGGGAGAGGTGTGTGTGCGGGTTGCGGTTCGGGTCAGACCGCTGCTTCCCAAAGAAGTGCTACACAATCATCAGGTGTGTGTGCGCGTGGTGCCCGACAGCGCCCAGGTGATGCTGGGTAGCGACCGAACATTTTCTTTTGACCACGTCTTTGGACCGACCGCATCGCAGGATCAGTTTTACGAGTCATGTGTCAAATCTCTGGTGGCATCCCTCGTTGACGGCTACAATGCTACAGTGTTCGCCTACGGACAAACCGGGTCTGGGAAAACGTACACCCTTGGCGGGGGACATATTGGTAAGTTAACAGTATGAGCGCAACTGTACTCTTTGACATCATGCAGACACCAAGTGCATTGAGGGACGATGATTGTTCTGACATTAGTCCTTGAATAATCAACTACCACTACAATTCTAAACTGAGCTGTCACTGGCACAGGAGGAAAACCTTAGGCAAATGCAGAGAACTTTCTGATCATAGGCCACTTTATATTATCATCACAACTCTGCTTTTGTGTTTTTTACCATGGAACTTGCTCTCCCTCTGTAATACTTGTACCCTTGTTAGCATCTCTGCCAGAGGAGGAAAGTGGGATCATTGGTCAGGTTGCAGCGGAACTGTTTGTGCTCCTGGGGGAGAGGAGGGCTGCTGATGTCAGGGCTGCAGCAGATGTGAGGGTGTCCTATGTGGAATTGTACCGGGAGGAGCTCAGGGACCTGCTAGAGCTCCACACCGCACACAGAGAGCTGCACATCAGAGAGGACGACAGGGGCAACATAGGTAACACCCCTCACTGACTGTGCTAGGGCATGTGTGTGTGTGGATCCAGTATGACCAAATTAAATGTGTTTTACAGTGTTGATAGAGGTTGTACTGAGGCTGGTGGTGTGTGAACATACATGCTGTATGGAATCTGACTGTAGTGAATGTGTGTTTCAGTTGTGGTGGGGGCCAGAGAGACTGTGATTACCTCAGCTGAGGAGTTGCAGAGCATCCTGGAGGCTGGCAATGCCCTGAGACACACTGGCCCCACTCAGATGAACGAGCGCTCCAGCCGCTCTCACGCCATCGTCACCGTGCAGCTGACGCAGCATAACCACGACGATGGCTCTGTCCGTTCCTCTAAACTCCACCTGGTGGATCTGGCTGGGTCGGAGAGGGCTGCACGCACTGGGAACACGGGCCTGCGCCTCAAAGAGTCTGTCCACATTAACACCGGCTTGCTAGCGCTGGGCAACGTCATCCGTGCACTCTCCGACCCCCATCGTCGTGGCAACCATGTGCCGTACCGTGACGCCAAGATCACACGCCTCCTCCGGGACTCACTGGGCGGCACCGCCCACACACTCATGGTGGCCTGCGTCAGCCCCTCCCACCACAGTGTCACGGAGACATTGAGCGTGCTGCAGTTTGCCTCACGGGCACGCCACGTGAAGAACCAGCCTGGGTTGTGTCCTGCCAGGGTGTGTCCGGGCTGGCAGCCTGGAGAGGCTCGTGTGGAGGAGCTGGAGCAAGAGGTCCAGACTCTGAAAGAGGCACTGAGAGAGAGGAATAAGACAGGGGGAGGGGTTACTATGACTGACAGCTCCAAACAGGCCCCTCAGGAAGAGCGTGATGACAGGGGTGCGGGCCTAGTGGAGGAGCCCCAGTACTGCTGCCTTGCACAGGACGCTACCTTCATATTGGAGGAGCTCCAGAGTTCCACCCTGAGTCCTGCTCTGCAGCAGCGCTTGCAGGAATGGCTGGAGAGACACGAGGAGCTTAGCCACTCCTGCCACACTGACCACCAACACCCTGTGGGGGACACAGGGGACGAACCTCACCACATCACCATCCTCCAGCTCAGACGAGAGCTCAGGAAGTGCCAGGTAGTGGGCTCTGTTTCTCAGCTTTGTTTCCTCAGTATTATCCATTTTCACACCGTATTCTAAATAGAGGTATGAATTGTAACTCTCTCTTTCTCTCTCCTCCCTATCTCTTTTTTACTCTCCCTCCCTCCATCAGGATACTCTGGCTATAGACGAGCAGGTGTTTGACCAGAGGGAGGCAGAGCTGCAGCAGGTGCAGAAACAGGTGCAGACACTGCTACAGGAGAAACAGAGACACCTCCAGTCCTTACAGGAGGAGAGGGAGCACAGACGCAAACAGGTAAGGAGAGAGAGAGAATGACAGAGACTCTGAGCTGAGCTGGAGGATGGCGAGAAATTAAGAAACGTGGAGGCAAAGATAGAATGGGGCATTTCTACATTGGTTGACAACTGACGGTTTCCGTTGTTTGAGTGTGCAGAGCGAGCAGCTGGTGGAGCAGCAGCTGTTAATCGATCGTCTTCACGGTGACCTCCTGACCTCCAGGATGGGATCCTCGGGAGCCTCGCTGGAAACCGGGGCCTCTGGGAAGTCGGCGAGGAGACCTCACAGTGTTCCCCAGATCAGCCAGGGCCAAGGCCATTGTGGTACGAGGAAGGTACGTGTCCAGAGCAACTGTGAGTGTGTGTGTGCGAGTGTGTGTGTGTGCGACAATGGCTAAGTTTGTCTTTGTGTGTCTCTTATGCAGATCCACACTAGTCCTCCGGCCTGTTCGTTGGAGAGGGTGATGGCTGCCTTTAAGACCCGCAGTCAGCTGCTGCTGGCTCAGATAGAGGAGAGAGACGAGGTCCTCTGCCCACAAAGAGCACAGGAGGAAAGGAGGGAAGAGGAGGAAGAGGAGGAGGAGCAGGGAGGGAGTAAGGGATTCAGGTGAGAAAGACTGATATAATAATGTAATGCTGCTTTTGGACTGTAACAGCTGTTCCACTAGTGTATACACACCCTGATGTTATACTAGGGACATTGTGTTTCCATAGCTAGAGCTGACAGTGAGGACTTTTGAAGAGCAGAATCAACAACCTCTGCCTAATCTAAACAGTTGCTTTGTGAGACGGTGTTAACCATTAAAGGCGTAAACCGATGTTCACAATTAGCCATTGTTTTTTAAATGCCGCCCTAAAAGCCCCAGTGGACATGCCCTTGCCCCAAGTTAGAGCAGGTCCACTGAGGCCATGGTCCAGTGAGTCCAAGGAGCCGGGCCGTGGAGGTGGAAACACAATTGGTACAACACCGGGGTAAATCCTCAGTGGAAATGCACCATGACCTCCTTCTTCTGAGTTATGTAATTGTTCTGCTTCCTCAGGACAGAATACTTACTTAATATTGAACTATATTGCAGGTGCTCTATGAACCGCACATGGACAAGCAGACAGAACCCAGCCTGTTTTAACCAGAACCAGACGCAAAATACTAGTTTGGACCAGATTCAGGACGTACTCCAGTTACCTCAACCGTCAAAACTCCCTACAGGTAAATACAGTGTTATATGACACTTTAAGAGTCTTATATTTCCTGTCATTTCTGTTTCATTGCTAAGCCCGGCCTGTGCCTTCCGTAGAGCGCGAGGAGCGCAGAGTGAGGCAGAGTCAGACGGTGAACCTGCAGCGCCTAATGCAGGCGGAGACACAGATCAGGGCTAGTCTGCAAACCAGTGGCTCCAGGGATCTACACAGGACCAAGGTCAGTGCTAACAATACAACATTAAGAGAATATTTATACAGCACTCATATAGATTATTCATAAAGCATTTATACAGCACTCATAGAGTATTCATAAAGCATTTATACAGTACTCATAGAATATTCATAAAGCATTAATACAGCACTCATAGAGTATTCATAAAGAATTTGTAGAGCACTCACAAATCAGTCTTAAAGCATTTTGGTCTATCTATAAACTAGGGTACCAGTGAGGATTTCCTACACTGGACAACTTGTTACAGCTGTTGATAAGTCGTTGATAATAATCAAATATATTTTTTCATGCCATTACATTAAGATATCTGGTGGGATCATAGATATATTCAATAAAATTCACGAGTTTATTTAAAACCTATGTTTACTCCTTTATCATGGTTGGTGTCTTGATGGATTTGTCCAAAATCGTGTGAGATAAAACTTTACTTTTCTGTCCTTGCATTTATGGCAGTGTAAATTGTTGATATCATATATTAAGCAAAAATCTGTTAAATTAGACATTGAACTTGAATCCTGGATCTAGCTGTAGGCCAGTTTTTTTTGTATAGAGATCTCAGAAATGCAGTGTAACAACATAACATTTAGTGTCTTCTTATGTTGCGGGGTGAAAACAGTTTTCATGGGCACACAAATCCTAAATAATAAATGCAATTGCAAAACCGAATGCTCCTGAGAGTCACTTTATCTTGATTCTTAAAACCTAAATCGATACTGTCATTAACGTGGTTCTTCAATAATTGAACAGCATGCTAAAGGGTTTGATGCTGCTGTGTTGCAGGACCTGGGGACAGACAAAATGGCTGTCTTTCAAAATGGGGCCTGTAAAGACTCTGAGGAAAAGGTAGAATGACTTTCCAGAATTATAAGTGAGCCCACATGACATCTGCAAATTATCACAGGTTTAGGGTCGGCTGCCCCTCCCTGCAGGATGTGTGTGTTATGGCAAAAAAGGCTATTTCAATGTTCACCATGCAGTCATGGTGATTCCTTAGACCACATTTGGATATTCAACATAGTTTAAAATAGTCAAATTGTGTTTGTGTGTTTTGAAATGTGGACATGTTCGTTTTGGCCGTGTACGATGCCCAGCTGTCTGAGAGACGTACGTGGCTGGAGCAAGAGGAGGAGGGTGCTCTGCAGAGGAGGAGGAGCCTGCAGGAGCTGGAGGAGGAGCTGAGGCACAGAGAAGAGGTGCTGCAGCACCGAGAGGCCTGTGTCCAGGAGAGGAAACAGCTGCAGATCAAGAGGCTCCGCTCCAGCCAGGTAATCACAGAGCAGGGCATAGAAATTGACATACAGTACCACACCTACTCATTCCAGGGTTTTTCTTTATTTCTACTATTTTCTACATTGTAGAATTATAGTGAAGACATCAAAACGATGAAATAACACATATGGAATCATGTAGTAACCAACAAAGTATTAAACAAATCAAAATATATTTTAGATGTTAGATTCTTCAAAGTAGCCACCCTTTGCCTTGATGACAGCTTTGCACACTCTTGGCATTCTCTCAACCAGCTTCATGAGGTAGTCACCTGAAATGCATTTCAATTAACAGGTGTGCCTTGTTAAAAGTTAATTTGTGGAATTTCTTTCATTCTTAATGCGTTTGAGCCAATCAGTTGTGTTGTGACAAGGTAGGGGGGTATACAGAAAATAGCCCTATTTGGTAAAAGACCAAGTCCATATTATGGCAAGAACAGCTCAAATAAGGAAAGAGAAACGACAGTCCATCATTACTTTAAGACATGAAGGTCAGTCAATCCAGAACATTTCAAGAACTTTGAAAGTTGCTTCAAGTGCAGTCGCAAAAACCATCATGCACTATGATGAAACTGGCTCTCATGAGGACTGCCACAGGAAAGGAAGACCCAGAGTTACCTCTGCTGCAGAGGATACGTTCATTAGAGTTAACTGGACCTCAGATTGCAGCCCAAATAAATGCTTCACAGAGTTCAAGTAAAAGACACATCTCAACATCAACTGTTCAGAGGAGACTCTGTGAATCAGGCCTTCATGGTCGAATTGCTGCAAAGAAACCACTACTAAAAGGACACCAATAAGAAGAAGAGACTTGCTTGGGCCAAGAAACACAAGCAATGGACATAAGACTGGTGGAAATCTGTCCTTTGCTCTGATGAGTCCAAATGTGAGTTCGCTTAGTGGGACTATCATTTGTTTTTCAACAGTACAATGACCCAAAACACACCTCCAGGCTGTGAAAGGGCTATTTGACTAAGAAGGAGAGTGATGGAGTGCTGCATCGGATGACCTGGCCTCCACAATCACCCGACCTCAACCCAATTGAGATGGTTTGGGATGAGTTGGACCGCAGAGTGAAGGAAAAGCAGCCAACAAGTGCTCAGCATATGTGGGAACTCCTTCAAGACTGGAAAAGCATTCCAGGTGAAGCTGGTTGAGAGAATGCCAAGAGTGTGCAAAGCTGTCATCAAGGCAAAGGGTGGCTACTTTGAAGAATCTAAAATCTAAAATATATTTTGATTTGTTTAACACTTTTTTTGATTTGTTTAACACAGTAAAAAGAAAAGAAAAACCCTTGAATGAGTAGGTGTGTCCAAACCTTTGACTGGTACGTACATACCCCAACCAGAAGCCATGGATTACAGGAAACATCCGAACTGAGCTAAAGGGTAGAGCTGCCGCTTTCAAGGAGCGGGAATCTAACCCGGACGCTTATAAGAAATCCCGCTATGCCCTCCGACGAACCATCAAATAGGCAAAGAGTCAATACAGGACTAAGATTGAATCGTACGACACCGGCTCTGACGCTCGTCGGATGTGGCAGGGCTTGAAAACTATTACAGACTACAAAGGGAAGCACAGCCGCGAGCTGCCCAGTGACACAAGACTTCCAGACGAGCTAAACCACTTCTATGCTCGCTTCGAGGCAAGCAACACTGAAGCATGCATGAGAGCACCAGCTGTTCCGGATGACCATGTGATCACGCTCTCCGTAGCCGATGTGAGTAAGACTTTTAAGTAGGTCAACATTCACAAGGCCGCAGGGCCAGACGGATTACCAGGACGTGTACTCCGAGCATGTGCTGACCAACTGGCAAGTGTCTTCACTGACATTTTCAACATGTCCCTGACTGAGTCTGTAATACCAACATGTTTCAAGCAGACCACCATAGTCCCCGTGCCCAAGGACTCTAAGATAACCTGCCTAAATGACTACCGACCCGTAGCACTGACGTCTGTAGCCATTAAGTGTTTTGAAAGGCTGGTCATGGCTCACATCAACACCATTATCCCAGAAACCCTAGACCCACTCCAATTTGCATACCGCCCAAACAGATCCACAGATTATGCAATCTCTATTGCGCTCCACACTGCCCTTTCCCACCTGGACAAGAGGAACACCTACGTGAGAATGCTATTCATTGACTACAGCTCAGCATTCAACACCATAGTGCCCTCAAAGCTCATCACTAAGCTAAGGATCCTGGGACTAAACACCTCCCTCTGCAACTGGATCCTGGACTTCCTGACGGGCCGCCCCCAGGTGGTAAGGGTAGGTAACAACACATCTGCCACACTGATCCTCAACACGGGGGCCCCTCAGGGGTGCGTGCTCATTCCCCTCCTGTACTCCCTGTTCACCCATGACTGCATGGCCAGGCACGACTCCAACACCATCATTAAGTTTGCCGACGACACAACAGTGGTAGGCCTGATAACCGACAACGATGAGACAGCCTATAGGGAGGAGGTCAGAGACCTGGCCGTGTGGTGCCAGGATAACAACCTCTCCCTCAACGTGACCAAGACAAAGGAGATGATTGTGGACTACAGGAAAAAAAAAGAGGACTGAGCACACCCCCATTCTCATCGACGGGGCTGTAGTGGAACAGGTTGAGAGCTTCAAGTTCCTTGGTGTCCACATCACCAACAAACTATCATGGTCCAAACACACCAAGACAGTCGTGAAGAGGGCACGACAAAGCCTATTCCCCCTCAGGAGACTGAAAAGATTTGGCATGGGTCCTCAGATCCTCAAAAAATTCTACAGCTGCACCATTGAGAGGATCCTGACTGGTTGCATCACCGCCTGGTATGGCAACTACTTGGCCTCCGACCGCAAGGCACTACAGAGGGTAGTGCGTACGGCCCAGTACATCACTGGGGCCAAGCTGCCTGCCATCCAGTACCTCTATACCAGGCGGTGTCAGAGGAAGGCCCTCAAAATTGTCAAAGACTCCAGCCACCCTAGTCATAGACTGTTCTCTCTGCTACCGCACGGCAAGCGGTACCGGAGTGCCAAGTCTAGGTCCAAAAGACTTCTCAACAGCTTCTACCCCCAAGCCATAAGACTCCTGAACAGCTAATCATGGCTACCCAGACTATTTGCACTGCCCCCCCCCCACCCCATCTTTTTACGCTGCTGCTACTCTGTTAATTATTTATGCATAGTCACTTTAACTCTACCCACATGTACATATTACTTCAACTACCTCAACTAGCCGGTGCCCCCGCACCTTGACTCTGCACCGGTACCCCCCTCTATATATAGCCTACCTACTGTTATTCTATTTTACTTCTGCTCTTTTTTTCTCAACACTTTTTTGTTTTATTCAAATTTTTTATTAAAAATAAATGCACTGTTGGTTAAGGGCTGTAAGTAAGCATTTCACTGTAATGTCTGCACCTGTTGTATTCGGCGCATGTGGCCAATAAAATTTGATTTGATTTACTGTATATTTATATATTTAAAAAAAAACGTATATCATATTTTTGTTTGTGTAAGTTACCGCATTCAAGTGTTGTTATCTGCAATTGAAAGTGTGTGTGCGTACGTTCATGTGTATTCCTCAGGCTCTGAGTCAGGACTTGCTGCGAGTGTCGGCTCGTCTGGGAGCTTTGGATCAGGAGCTGGAGGAGAGAGGAGGGGTAAGGAGGAGACAGTCCTCCCCGACAGAGGGGCTGTGTGGTGTGTCTATGGAGGAGCTGCTGAAGGAGAGGGAGAGCCTGCGCCAGAGGAGGGACACCTTGGACACGCAGCTGAGAGACGGCAGTGTGCTCACGCCAGAGGTGAGCTCCTCAACGTTCAACACCTTCCTTCCGGCTGGGTGTCACTCTGACTGCAGAGGGCTGATAAATGGTGTGTGTGTGTAGGAGGAGCATGCTCTGCTGCAGTTGGAGGAGGCCCTGGAGGCACTGGATGCTGCAGTAGAGTTTAAGAACCGTTCCATCCAGGAGAGACAGAGAGAGCTCGGGGACACGTCTAATCCCGCCCACGGAGACAATGACGTCATGAGGGCGCTGAGGGAGCTGCCACTTCCAGAGGCCTCTGCACTGTTGGTCAAATACTTCAACAAGGTCAGAGTCCCAACACACACACAAACACACTCACCACAAACTACTTTGAGCGAACAGCTACACCAAACTACCGTAATTCAGTCATTTTAGAAGGAGGGAGGCCACATGAGGATACTTTTGACCATTGGCAAGCGATACGACCAGAGTTGTGCAAAGTTAAAATCAGATGCAAATCATCGTCAGAAACTTTGCTGTGTGATAACCAATCGGGAGAGGGAGGGTCTAGATAGCCTAGTCAGCTTTGAGACTGTACTGGATAGTGGAACATGCTATTTTGCATGCTGTTTTGAATAAACACCCACAAAGGGAGAACTAGGTGATGCCTACTACAAAGTAGTATCTGGTCGACAGTACACTCTCCATTAGAACCCTCATTTGAGGAAAGGCTGGGGGGCTGGGATTGAGATTTGAGAGGTTGAAAAAGGTTTGGGGCAGAAGTGGGACTGGTTCAAGAGATGATGATAATAATAATACATTTCATTTGTATAGTGCTTTTCATTGCAGTGTAATCTCAAAGCTTTACATGGGCAAAAATAAGACATCCACTACACTTCTAACCTTCCATCAGCCTCCTACTAAGCTGGCAAAAGTTGAAAGCGTTCCCTTGGCCCCTCCAGGTGCTGTGTCTGCGGGAGTCGGAGCGGCGACTGCAGCTGCGCTGTGAGGAGCTGCAGCTGCAGAGTGGAGAGCAGGAGGCGGCGACCAGGGAAATGGAGGCAGCTCTACAGCGCCTCACTCTGGACACAGACCGCCGGCTCACTGAGCAGAATCGAGAGCACCAACACAGCATACAGTTACTACTGCAGCAACGACGAGGTCTGTGTGTGCGTGTGTGTGTGCATCAATGTGGTAAATGTTTGAGAGTGTGGTATTCCTGACCTTTCATTGTGTTCCTGTGTGTTTTACAGTATTCTTACTGCTAATTTTGTGTTTTTGTGTAGAGGGTGGCTCAGGGGACAGTGATCAGGCGGTCCATGCTAGGCTGCAGCAGCTGGAGAGAGACCTGTTCTTCTATAAGAGCTCCAGTCGTGAGCTGAAGAGGAAGCTCCGAGAGCTGGTCACAGACTCCCTCCCCCCCCAGGCTCCAGACCTGCAGACACAGGGCAGGAAGGAGGCCAGTGACGGAGCAGGGGACAGCCTCAGCCTGCAGACTCCTAGAGTGGAGCTGGCCCCTGTCCGTCTGTCCCGTAGGGAGCTGAGGCAGCTCTTACCCTCTGACCTCTGCAGCACTAGGGTGCGCTCTGCCCTGAGGGCCAGCAGAGGCTCATTCCAGGAGGACTCCATTGAAGTGCCCAGAAACACTTACTGACCAGGAGGCTCAAGCACATATCGACCACTTATTTCATTCGTCCACACTGATCTAGAAGAAGAGGTCAGGTGAATCTAAGTCGATAGGATCAATGTGGATGAAGGAGAGGAGGCAAGGAACGGAAGCCACTAACTGTGAAACTGTTGAGACACGTCGAGTGATTCCAAGCACGGAGTGAAAGCCCTCTCTGCCCTTTACAGCACTAAAATCTGACTGAATTGCACTTCAAACTGCAGAGACTCATCAGTTAGTCAGAGATCAGATGAGCCCATATAGCTAAATGGATATCAAAATAATGTCTATTAGAAAATAGTTTGTTTAAATTATTCTATTATGTTTTTTTTTTACTTTTTAAGAGGTCTTTGTTTATAAGAGTGTGTGTTTTATACAGTAGTGTGTTTGCAGTGTTCTAGACCCTCGGGCCACTCCAAACTAAAGCAAGCCACTGGTCATTCATGCAATATAGTTTACCTGTGATTTACTCTGTTTCCTTGGGTGTGGTTTTGGTTATTTTAGTGTTGAACAACTGTTGACATCAAATTGATTGAATCAAACCTGTTCATTTGCATGGTTCACCAATTGGATCTACATTTATCTTTGCAGACTGCTGTTTAATGTTAAAGGTGCAATCTGCAATAGTTATTGCTATTCAATGGTAAATGTTATTACTGGTACCCATTGATTCTTGAAAAATATAACTTATACATGTATATAACTAATACATGGCTCTAATATCATATTCCCAAAAATGTTAGTCTGATCCCAAGTAGCCTGGCTGATAAACAAGGTTAGTGATCCACCACCACCCTTCTAAAACAGTTCTGTTGCAAAACAAAAAGCTTAAAGATCCAGTGGGCCTCAAAATAAAAACATTATATTCAAAAGGTCATTCTTGTTGGAGCCGTAATTCATACCTGTGTGTTCATACCTGTGTGATGTAGTTCTCAAGATGTAGTTCTCAAGATCAGAAATAAAGCTACATTAGAAAGGCAATTGGAAAAATAAGAATCATTCCTTTTTTTTTAAAACAAATACATATACCATTTAATTTATATTTAGAATTTGATTGTTTTCAATATTTTGTTTATTACCGACCACAAAATATGAAGTATATTAGCTTTACATACAAAAGCAGAAACGTAATGAATAAATATGTTTGCAAATAAATACGTTACAAGATAATACAATTCTTGTTACACCAGAATAAGAATTATTCTGGTGTAACATACAGCAGTTTGCATTCACAGAGAACCACCAACACTCAAGGCAATAGATGTCAACACATTCATAAAACAACACTGGTAAAACTGAAGTGATGTCCTACCTAGGCAGGCAACGGGGATTAAAGAGATATCTTCATTTACGATTAGCATTCATGTAAGGGAATGGACACACATATAATCCCCTACATAAATCTCAACAGCGAGGCTACATCAAGATAAAGTAATACACCCCTAATCCTTCATCTGTTTCCTAGATTCACCTGTTTTAGATGGATTCCCATGGCCAAATTCATAACGATATCCATCTTACTCCTACCTGGCCAGAGATCTAAGCATCCACCCAACCCTTGAATTGGCAACCATGAGTGGCAATTGTTACGGAGCACAATAGCTGAGCTATGTTATATGATATTCACCGTCATCTTCCAACTTTTAAAGCAAGAGTGAATACGTCATTCTTTGGACTCTATTCTTAGTTCTCCTCATCTCTGCAAATACACATTTATTTCAGTGGCCAGGCCAAGCATTTATCCAAAACAACAACAAAAAACATTAATTTGATTAAAAGAACAGAATAACATAATACACAGTGGTTGACTGGAATATACAGTGGGGAAAAAAAGTATTTAGTCAGCCACCAATTGTGCAAGTTCTCCCACTTAAAAAGATGAGAGAGGCCTGTAATTTTCATCATAGGTACACGTCAACTATGACAGACAAATTGAGATAAAAATATCCAGAAAATCACATTGTAGGATTTTTAATGAATTTATTTGCAAATTATGGTGGAAAATAAGTATTTGGTCACCTACAAACAAGCAAGATTTCTGGCTCTCACAGACCTGTAACTTCTTCTTTAAGAGGCTCCTCTGCCCTCCACTCGTTACCTGTATTAATGGCACCTGTTTGAACTTGTTATCAGTATAAAAGACACCTGTCCACAACCTCAAACAGTCACACTCCAAACTCCACTATGGCCAAGACCAAAGAGCTGTCAAAGGACACCAGAAACACAATTGTAGACCTGCACCAGGCTGGGAAGACTGAATCTGCAATAGGTAAGCAGCTTGGTTTGAAGAAATCAACTGTGGGAGCAATTATTAGGAAATGGATAATCTCCCTCGATCTGGGGCTCCACGCAAGATCTCACCCCGTGGGGTCAAAATGATCACAAGAACGGTGAGCAAAAATCCCAGAACCACACGGGGGGACCTAGTGAATGACCTGCAGAGAGCTGGGACCAAAGTAACAAAGCCTACCATCAGTAACACACTACGCCGCCAGGGACTCAAATCCTGCAGTGCAAGACGTGTCCCCCTGCTTAAGCCAGTACATGTCCAGGCTCGTCTGAAGTTTGATAGAGTGCATTTGGATGATCCAGAAGAGGATTGGGAGAATGTCATATGGTCAGATGAAACCAAAATAGAACTTTTTGGTAAAAACTCAACTCGTCGTGTTTGGAGGACAAAGAATGCTGAGTTGCATCCAAAGAACACCATACCTACTGTGAAGCATGGGGGTGGAAACATCATGCTTTGGGGCTGTTTTTCTGCAAAGGGACCAGGACGACTGATCTGTGTAAAGGAAAGAATGAATGGGGCCATGTATCGTGAGATTTTGAGTGAAAACCTCCTTCCATCAGCAAGGGCATTGAAGATGAAACGTGGCTGGGTCTTTCAGCATGACAATGATCCCAAACACACCGCCCGGGCAACGAAGGAGTGGCTTCGGAAGAAGCATTTCAAGGTCCTGGAGTGGCCTAGCCAGTCTCCAGATCTCAACCCCATAGAAAATATTTGGAGGGAGTTGAAAGTCCGTGTTGCCCAGCGACAGCCCCAAAACATCACTGCTCTAGAGGAGATCTGCATGGAGGAATGGGCCAAAATACCAGCAACAGTGTGTGAAAACCTTGTGAAGACTTACAGAAAACGTTTGACCTGTGTCATTGCCAACAAAGGGTATATAACAAAGTATTGAGAAACTTTTGTTATTGACCAAATACTTATTTTCCACCATAATTTGCAAATAAATTCATAAAAAATCCTACAATGTGATTTTCTTGAGAAAGAAATTCTCATTTTGTCTGTCATAGTTGACGTGTACCTATGATGAAAATTACAGGCCTCTCTCATCTTTTTAAGTGGGAGAACTTGCACAATTGGTGGCTGACTAAATACTTTTTTCCCCCACTGTATAAATAATGGGATAAGAAATAAGAGGACCGTTAAATTGCTTTTTGTATCCATTTCTGCCCAGACAACAATAAGTCACTAAGTCACGTGTACAATCACATACGTTTTTCTCTATGTATCATAAATATACGTTTTGACTAGGATTAGATTTGCCTCTTTTGTTTAGTTTTCCTTACAGTACAATTCACACACAACAGTATACAGACATAATACAGAATAGACAAACAAGGCAGAATATGGGAAATGATCAAAACATTGCCCATTACTAAATTGCCGACATGGTTTCAACAGATTCATGCCTCCTACCAGTGTGCAGTGCCACATGTCATGCCCATACACACAGGTTTACAGGGTATACAGACCAGTGGCACGTCTCTGTTAGGACCTGACTACAATGGGAGTAATTATTTCCTATTTCACACCTAATCAAACCAAAGAGCAAAGAAAACCTCTGTCTTGGCTTTTCGTGTCTTTGTGTAAAAATGAACCATTCCACCCTTTATAGGGGCAATCTGAGGTTGCTACATCCATTTAAACTTATACATTAATGATATGCACCCATTGATTCTTGAAGAATATAACTTATAAATGCTTAGTTCAACTATCGTAGCCCATCAGAACCCAAAATATAAGTTTGTTTTACTCCAATGTTTGTGAACAAAGTAAATGTAAACAAACACTATATAGCCTCAAAACATGGTTAAAACTATCATGTTGATTTCATGGATGATCAGTACTTCCATCCATAGCTCTGTCTATGAATTTGAGAGTGATTACATTTCTCCAGCCCATCCCTCAGCTTTTTACCGAAACGGGTGTATTATTGTTTCAACTGCTGATTGCCGCTTTAAGCAAACCAATGAATTGTTTTACTTAATTTCAATTTAAAGGAATTCAAAAATAGATTGTGAGGTAACACCTACAGTACCTACCAAACTACATGCAGTAACAACTTACTTGGGACAGGGTCACTTGTGAGGTAGTCTACTTATTCAACACAGTATAGCATTTAAGCTGATTTAATTTGCTTCCTGCATTGGCCTTTGGCACATCAGGTTGGTAGGTACCCTACATGTCACCTAATTTACTCAGGTAAACTACTGCTCCAGATGGAGTCTGTTAATGAGTTTAAACTCCAACATTATGGACATTTCACTGGACCAGGTTAAGCCTACTCCTGTACTGAATTGCACTTGGTAACTTTCACATCTTAAAATAGTCCAGGACTATCTATAGTCCATATTCATGTTTAACTGATATTCAGTTCTCTAGTAAAATAATTTTATCTAGGTCTGTAAAACCAGCCCTGCGTACGAATATTCTAACCCCACTTCAATCAACAGTATGTCTACAAGGCATAACACATACAAATCCTATGACTAAATATTTGTCACAGTTTAATACAAAATAAACCAAACCATTTCACTGACAGAACAACTGGAGGTAAAAGTAATCATTCACTTGGTGTTCCATGACAAAACCTGAAATGACAAAGTACTGGTATAGCATTACATGGTATACCCTGGCTGGTATCACATACATTTGATATTTTAGTCATTCAGCAGACGCTCTTATCCAGAGTTACCTAGAGGAGCAATTAGGGTTAAGGGCCTTGTTCAAGGGCACATCGACAGATTTTTCACCTAGTCAGCTCTTAACCACTAGGTCACCTGCCACCATAGATAAGGAGAAGGTAGTGAACAGTGGTGGTGACCCTGTGAAGAAGGCTGTGGTGTAGAATAGGGTGTGAGGTGACCCCTAATCTGAGTGCATTTGTGTCATGTTCATCAGGGCACGCAACGGAAAACATTAAAAAACATTTGGCGACGGAAAACAAAGTCTAAGTAGTCCCTCCCTGTTTCAGTCCCATTTCTTCCATTTGGTGCCTTAATAAACACAACCCTGATCTATCTGTTCTGTTGCAGCTGTTCAGACTAGGATGCCTTGACACAGATTAAGTGGAAACTGGAAGAGGATAAAGAAGAGAAGTGGACGGCTCCTGGAGATCACTTGTTCTCAATGAGAGTCTGCACCTTGCACACCAGGTCCCGGGCCAGGGTCAGGATCTGCTTGATGTTGTGATGCTCGGCCATTTCTGAAAGGAGTCGAGAGAAGATGACGATGTCATACCAGCTGAACCACTGCCAGCATCAATGCACAAGGCTATAACACCATATTTATTTTATGTGTGTGGGTAAGCCCTTGACTCCTGCATCCCCCTGTAACTCTATTCTCAGAGCTGGAGTATGACCTTTCACGGCATGCTGACAGTTCATAATCAGAGCCATCCAGTGGCTATCTACACTACAAACATCATTTTACCAGGTTCCCATGAAGCAATTGTAACGACAGTCCACCACAACAAACCCGAGAGTCTACTGATTAGCACAGGGTAGTCTGTGTTTAATTTAATTTTGTATTAAAAACACAGTTTGAGATCATTGTGAGGGGTTTTCTTCATTGGCTTAAATTGGGAATTGGGCTTCCTGGGAAAATATTGTCTGAGGTTGCAACAGTAACCAAGGGGGCGTCGCTTAGCGAAGGGTCAATTGCGTGTGTTATTCATTGAACCATTTATTTTCTCAGCACAGGTACCCATTCAAGGTTACTATTACCCCTTCAGCTATTGACAAAGTTGGACATTAACAAAAAGCAATTTTAGGTTTATTATCTTTCTCTAGGCAATTGAAATGCAATGCTCTACATTGACAATGAATCTGTAAATCTACAGCTTGTGCCCTAGTTGAGTATTTCATATTAGCTGCTGCAAGGCAGCAGACAGTTTACCATTAAAAAGGTATAGTACGCACACACCTATCGTTTTTTCAAGTGCATGGAGACATACCTTCAATGCTCCACAAACAACTGAATGAATTGTTGATTCATTGTTAGACAGTTTACCATTGAAAAACTTAATGATGTCGGTGAAGTCCATGTTATTCTCCAGAATGATGTCCCGGTAGACCTCCACCAGTGCCAGTGCGATGAAGAGGACAAAGTGGCCGGAAGAGGCGTGCTTCGCTGCCCAGATGGTCTCCCATACCGCAAACACATCGTCATACACCAGCTCTGAGAATAGAAAAGTACAGGGGGATGCAGGAGTCAGGTGTGGGGATGGGGGGGAAATCTAAATCTGATAGAATTAGATAAGGTATAAGTAACATGGTAATAGGTCCACCTTGCCCTCTGATTGGGCTAGATGAAATTTACTTTGGGATTCAGAATGCAAGTACAGTACATGAGGATGAATCATGAGTCAGGATGGTTGGGATTGGAGTTCAGGGCTCTTGGTTTTTAGTGAACAGAGAAGTGTGTTTGAATATGAGGGGTATAAACACCTAGGTGGGAGAGAGGCTAGGATTGATAATGAGATAGATAGCCATTGATTCATATTCAAAGTGCCCTCACGTGTCCTTCACGCAATAGTGACCCATCTTCTTATTCATGACCAACTCCTGAAGGCACTTTCTCCTGAGTGATCTTACTGCCTGCCATATCCTTGATGTGGAAGCGGATCATTATAACTAATTCTTGTTATTTTGCGTTGCTTCCTGTCCGTTTTATATTTGGTCGACAGTATGAAAACACGCTCTCCCCTAAGTTTAATTGCCATTTGCTACGGTCAATTCCACTGTAACAGAGTGATGCTGAGACTCCGATTTTTCACTTTAAAATGTATGCCAAACAAAAACCAATGATTGCAAAGTTAAACAAACCATACAACTTTATGCTCAAGGAAACACATTTATCTGAAGAACAGTGCAGATGCAAAGTTTGGTAACAGAATGACGGTTTGTGCTGTTTGTTCGTTCATTCTCTTACCAAACTTTGCATCTGTACTGTTCTTCAAATAATGTATTTTTGTATGGTTTGTTTAACTTTGCAATCATTGGTTTTTGTTTGGCATACATTTTAAAGTGAAAAATGGGAGTCTCAGCATCACTCTGCTACCGTGGAGTTGCCCCTACAGTAATAAGTCCCCTCATAGCAGGATGTCATTATTACCACGCTTGAAGTCTAGAAGGAACCATCGGTAGCAGAAGTAGAAGTGGGTGTAGTCGCCATTTTGGTGCATGAGCTCAAAGATCTCCGAATCCAGTATCTACAGAGGGGTAGGAGGAGGAGAGAGGGCAGACAGTTGAAAGAAAAGAGAGGGCAGACAGACAGTTTAAGGAAAAGAGATGGGTTGGGGAGTAGAGGGAAAGGTTCGGGAAGAGAGGATGGAGGTTTGTTGAGACCATAAAGTTAGACATGTTATATTCACTGTATCTTTCTATTCATGAAAAGTACTGGATGCATGCCAATACGTATAGAAATATAGACGTTACAAAGGGCCTCTGTGGCCTCACCTGGATGAGAGAGCGCATGTTGGCAAAGTGAGTGTCCATGGCCCCGCCGTGGGGGAAGTTCTGATTCATCCGCTTCATGAGCTCAGTGAAACAGCTAAAGGCCATTGCCTCTGAGAGAGGGAGGAAAGATGGAGAGGGAGGGAGGAAAGATGGGGAGAGAGAGGGAGGGAGGAAAGATGGGGAGAGAGAGGGAGGAAAGATGGGGAGAGAGAGGGGGAGGAAAGATGGAGAGAGAGAGGGAGGAAAGATGGAGAGAGAGAGAGGGAGGAAAGATGGAGAGAGGAAAGACAGACAGAAATGTTGAGCGGTCCTCTTCTATCACCATTTCAGTTGTCCACCCTGAGGCACAACAGAACCTGTCCTCTGTTTTATAGTATTATTCATTGTACTCTTTCCTTACTTCTCAATACCTCTGTATGATATAGTGATAGTCTATGATGAGTCTCATTGACAGACTGTTGTTTGACTAAGCGTTGTTGTGTGTCTGTGTGTGTGTTATAGAGCAGCTGAACAAAAAAATATATATATATATATATCTGGTTGAAAACGGCCTGTTGCATCGATATTAGTCAGAAATATTGATTCTAGTGTTAAAATTGACTACAAAGTACACTGCTCAAAAAAATAAAGGGAACACTTAAACAACACAATGTAACTCCAAGTCAATCACACTTCTGTGAAATCAAACTGTCCACTTAGGAAGCAACACTGATTGACAATACATTTCACATGCTGTTGTGCAAATGGAATAGACAACAGGCGGAAATTATAGGCAATTAGCAAGACACCCCCAATAAAGAAGTGGTTCTGCAGGTGGTGACCACAGACCACTTCTCAGTTCCTATGCTTCCTGGCTGATGTTTTGGTCACTTTTGAATGCTGGCGGTGCTTTCACTCTAGTGGTAGCATGAGACGGAGTCTACAACCCACACAAGTGGCTCAGGTAGTGCAGCTCATCCAGGATGGCACATCAATGCGAGCTGTGGCAAGAAGGTTTGCTGTGTCTGTCAGCGTAGTGTCCAGAGCATGGAGGCGCTACCAGGAGACAGGCCAGTACATCAGGAGATGTGGAGGAGGCCGTAGGAGGGCAACAACCCAGCAGCAGGACCGCTACCTCCGCCTTTGTGCAAGGAGGAGCAGGAGGAGCACTGCCAGAGCCCTGCAAAATGACCTCCAGCAGGCCACAAATGTGCATGTGTCTGCTCAAACGGTCAGAAACAGACTCCATGAGGGTGGTATGAGGGCCCGACGTCCACAGGTGGGGGTTGTGCTTACAGCCCAACACAGTGCAGGACGTTTGGCATTTGCCAGAGAACACCAAGATTGGCAAATTCGCCACTGGCGCCCTGTGCTCTTCACAGATGAAAGCAGGTTCACACTGAGCACATGTGACAGACGTGACAGAGTCTGGAGACGCCGTGGAGAACGTTCTTCTGCCTGCAACATCGTCCAGCATGACCGGTTTGGCGGTGGGTCAGTCATGGTGTGGGGTGGCATTTCTTTGGGGGGCCGCACAGCCCTCCATGTGCTCGCCAGAGGTAGCCTGACTGCCATTAGGTACCGAGATGAGATCCTCAGACCCCTTGTGAGACCATATGCTGGTGCGGTTGGCCCTGGGTTCCTCCTAATGCAAGACAATGCTAGACCTCATGTGGCTGGAGTGTGTCAGCAGTTCCTGCAAGAGGAAGGCATTGATGCTATGGACTGGCCCGCCCGTTCCCCAGACCTGAATCCAATTGAGCACATCTGGGACATCATGTCTCGCTCCATCCACCAACGCCACGTTGCACCACAGACTGTTCAGGAGCATGCCCAGGCGTTGTAGGGAGGTCATACAGGCACGTGGAGGCCACACACACTACTGAGCCTCATTTTGACTTGTTTTAAGGACATTACATCAAAGTTGGATCAGCCTGTAGTGTGGTTTTCCACTTTAATTTTGAGGGTGACTCCAAATCCAGACCTCCATGGGTTGATACATTTGATTTCCATTGATAATTTTTGTGTGATTTTGTTGTCAGCACATTCAACTATGTAAAGAAAAAAGTATTTAATAAGATTATTTCATTCATTCAGATCTAGGATGTGTTGTTTAAGTGTTCCCTTAATTTTTTTGAGCAGTGTATAAACAGCATATTTTGGTCATAAAGTCAGTATCTTCCAAAACAGATATTTGCGAGATTTAGGGAAGCTGTTACGTTCCTAGAGCCATTGGATATTTGAGGGTTGGGTTTTGATTTAGATCATGCCCACTAACACAGGACTGTAACGCCTAGGGAGAATTGTAATGCACAGAGAAACAGCTGCACTGATTGCACTCTATCCAATTGTATGCAGAACCTACAGACAATGAGACAGACCTCACACATTACGCATGCGCCTCAGACTTGTTTACATGAGAAAACCCTACGCCTATGTTATGTTAAAAGAACACTTGGCCCCTAAGCCATTGTTAAATCCCATACTTACAACTTTTGCTAAGTTAGGATATTATACTGAATTGAATAAACCGGACTCAGAGGTAAACTTCAACATGTCTTTACTCCATGACCGTCTTGTAACAAGATCCCAGCATTCTTTACTGACGTGGTGACATCATAGCAGTACGTCACATCAATACACCACCTCCCCCCTTTACTTGGATATAAACTTCAACGTCAACCTAACATACATAAGAACACTTGTTTCTTTACCTGCATAGCAACCGTTGTGTTACCAATAAACAACTGAAATCTGTTCCCAGTTTCTTACTCGTTCGGTTTTCCGCTTACTTTCTTACTGTAACAAAACATTCTGCACCTTTTCTTTTTCACAGCGTAACTCAAACATTCAGAGTCTTTTCATTATTGCTTTGTACTTGCCACTTTTCAGTTTATACTTGTTTTCTTTACCCATTACAGTGCAGGATCATTATTTAATGACAAAGTATGTTAGCTTCTGTGGCAGTTTGATTTGTCTGTGAGGCCTGACTGCCTTGTGGTGGTAGATTGCACAATATCATGATATCACCTTCTGGTCATTGCACTTGGAGTTGTGTTCACAGCCACAAATCTCACATACTCCACTGCTTCATGTGTGTGTGATTCATTCACTGCAGTCTCTCCGAGTAGACGAGACAGAGGGTCAGCGATGTTGTTTTTGCCTGGTATGTGGACAACACGAAAGTCATAAGGTTGGAGCCTCAGCACCCACCGTTCGATGCGAGCGCATGGCTTTGAGTGAGGACTGTAAATAGCCTCTAATGCCTTATGATCAGTCACTAAATCAAATTCCCTGCCGTATACATACAGGCGAAGCCTTTAACAAGCCCAAACCAATGCAAGGGCCTCACGCTCAGTCTGTGACCATTCTCGGTTCACACAGCGACAGCACTGGTCCTGCTCTGCTAACAGTTCCTTTTATCTGAATGTTTTTGCTTACCGAGTGAACAGGCCTCTAGGTCCAACTTCCGCGGCTCTGCTTAGAGACGATGTGTGTCTCCACTTTAAGGTAACGAAATGCTATCGCTCTGGTCGAAGTGGTAATACGTATGTGTCCCTTGGCAACTTCCCCCAATGCTCTGAGAGTGTAAGAGAAGACTAGAATGTAAATGAAACCTATTGCTTTAGCCCACAAACCCTAGAAAGTTACGAACCTCTGATGCAGTCTCAGGCTCCCTGGCCTCGACCACTGCTCTCACCCTTTCAGCTGTGGGACCGATGCCCTTCTGTGAGAGTAGCATGCCCATAAACACCAACTTGTCCATGTTGAACTGACATTTCTCTGAGTTGAGAGTCAGTCCACAGCCCTGGTTTTAGCTCCAATTGATGGTGGCGCCATTTAAGATCCAGTTTACTGAACATGACAGACCCATTCATTCCTTGCAAAAATTAATCTACTGTGGGGATTGGGTCCCTGCCACGTATGATTGCTGTGTTCGCTTGTCTCATGTCCAGACAGTCTTATGTCGCCGTCCGGTTTTGGCACTACCACCACCGGATTCACCCACGGTGTGGCACCATCCACTCTCTCGATTAAGTCCATGTTTTGTAGTTCCTTGATCTTTTTCTCCACAGCTTCTCTCAGGTGAAATGGTACACGCCTAAGGGCCTGTGCTACTGGTGTCACATTTTCATCAACATGTAGGTTGATCTGCTTTGTGTTGGGGTACTGCTGTTTTATCTGTGCTTTCACATCTGTTACTGCTGCTATGTCAACACCCACTTTTAGCACACCCAATTTAATGGCAGTCTCTTTCCCTAGCAACGGCTCTCCGTGTCCACATATCACAGTGAACTCAGCCTGTGTGCTGCGCTTGTCTGTCTTTATTTGGCATGAAAAGCCCTTCTACTGGTAATTGCTCGCTGGATGAGTGTGCATATAGCTTTTTATCAGTCAGTAATGAACGACACCTGATTTCCGTGGCTTTCAACATTTCCCATGTGCTCTCATCTACTATGTTATTTCGTGGCCCAAGAATCAATTAACATTAATACATTTTCGCCTCCCACTGAGAACGTGATCCTGTCTGAGTTACAGTTCTCATTTACTACAAATGCATAGTCTCTGTTTTGTTCCTCTGAATCAACATATTTCACAATCTGTTTCGAGTTATCTTTGGTCTTGCACATTTTTGCAAAACTATCCTTTCCGTTTCATTTCTTGCAGGTCTGCCCGCGTGCTGGACAAGCAGAGTCCTTTGCAAAATTATCATGTCCACAACGGTAGCAAACTTTCTTTGATTTGTTTTTTCCATCTGCATTCTGTCTCCGCCCCGTTTGTGATATTTCTTCTCCTTTTTGAAAACACGATGCACGATCTCATTATCCTTCGCATCCGTACTCACATGCATGGTGGACATTTGCACTTCAGTTCTTTCACATTGTGTGGCTAGCTCTAGTGACCGCGCTAATGTTAGCCTTCCTCCAATAGCTTTCTGCGCACATATTCCGTATAACACTTGCTCAGTATGGCATCTCTAATCTGATTGTCCTTTATCTTTTTTTTCACCTTTATTTAACCAGGTAAGCCAGTTGAGAACAAGTTCTCATTTACAACTGCGACCTGGCCAAGATAAAGCAAAGCAGTGCGATAAAAACAACAACAACACAGAGTTACATATGGAATAAAC